CCCCCTCCCCCTCTCTCCTATAAGGAAACTATTTACAGAACAGGAGGCCCCAGGAGTCCTCATCTCCACTGTGTGCATGCTAACTATGGTGTTGGACAGACCATCACCACCAGAGTTCCTCCCCACTTGTTCAGAAACTAGTGAGTGCTAGTATTTAGGCATTTTACTGGCCAGTTTTTTGAGTTCGGGCAAGATACGGCCTCAGCTGCTGCCACTAAGAGCACCACCTGTGCCTATTAAATATGCTCCCTTTAAAAAGGGCCCTGCCAATCTCCTACCCCTCCTTTTTTGTATCTGTGTAACCTCCCCCCCCACGTGCCTCTGTTTCCTCTTTCCTGCTGCTGCTGTCCCTGGGGGCGGGTCTCTCCTCCCGTTTTTACAATCCTTTTCCCCTATTAAAACCCCCCTCCACTTGAACTCTGTCATGTGGCATCTTCCTTTCTCAGGCTGTTTTTTTAAATTACACAGCAGGATGGAAAGTATGTAGATGAGGTAAACAAGCCTCAGGGGAACACATAGATTAATAGAAATGGAGTAATTTATGCTGTAATAGTTAAAAGCAAGCCTAACCCTAAGTTATCAGCCAAGCATTTATAATAAATATGTGTCATTTGTTGAGTTGGCAGCCCAAAGAAAGTCTGACTGCGTGAGTGCTCATGTATAGAGGCCAGAGATTGAACTCTTCCTGATTGCTCTCACTGTATTGAGCCTGGGACTTCTCACTGAACACATGGCTCATCATCTTGTCCTAGGAATCTCATCTCTTGGACATCAGGATTATAGGCAGCTTCCACCCCTGCTTTGTGGGAGCAGGGGAATGTCAACTCCAGTCCTCAGACTTGTGGAACACTGTGTGCACTCACTCAGCTGACTCTCCAACCCTGGGTAACATTTTCACACTGATTTCAGTAGACTCTGAATATTACCATCATAAACCATCCTCCTGGGAAGGAGAAGTAATTCCTGTCATTGTCTTGCTCTGTAGGTTTTTAAAAAATGTTGGATCTCTCTCTCTCCGCCCTGTGCCCAGGGTCTCATACATGCCCAGACCATCTCCATCACAGCACTGCCAGGCTCCTAAATTGTTTGGTTGAGGCCTGTGTTTTCTGTGGAAAGACCTTTCCCTCAGTAGAGAGTGTGGTAAGATGCCTGGAACCAGGATGGTGAGACAGCTCAAGAGCAGTAAGCTGAGACCTTGGTCTCTAAAACCACCCTCACCAGGTGTCAGGCCCTGATTGGAGGATCAGGCAGGGAAAATACAACACATGCCTGTGGCATCTTACAATATAAATATAGGTGCTAAAAACAAAAGTGTTGGACAATGTAAGTTATAAAGTAAATTGCAACGTGAACCCCAAGCCTTCTGTTTTTGTTTAAGACAGGATTTCTCTGTGTAACAGCCCTGGCTGTCCAGGCTCCTGAGTGCTGGGATTCAAAGCATGTGACACTATGGCAAGCTCAAGCTTTTGTTTTTACACAGGACAGCAACTCCCCAAGAGTAGAGGCTGCAGTCCTTAGTAGATGCTAAGTCATTTTTTTTTTTCTGGTTGGTGCTGGGAATTGAACATAGGACCTCATCTGAGTATTTACATTGCTACTGCCTGTATCCTCAGCCTTTAAATACCTTCTTGAAAAATTACTTCATAACCCAACTGTGATGTACCCAATGGTTTAGTTTGAAAAGTTGCATGTTATTGAATAATCTTTTTGTACAGTGTGAAGATATGTCTTTGCCAAAGCGTCTTTTGATTGGTTTAATAAAAGGCTGGCTGGGCAAGAGTAGACAGGAAGAGGTTAACTGGGAGAGCCAAACTGGGAAGAAGTTTCAGGAATTGCCAGACAGATACAGAGAAAGCAGATGAATATGCAATGCTGGAAAAAAATGGTAGAGTGTACATGGTAGTGTGTACATAAAAATGGGTTAATTTAAGACGTAGAGCTACTTAGTAGCAAGCCTAAGCTATTGACTGAGCATTTACAATCAATAAGTTTCTGTGTGATTAGGACTAGCTTTTTTTTTCTCTCCTTAAAAAGGACATCTTTCAAATGATGGAATAATTGTTGACTATTTTCAGTGCACCAGAGACACTTAATGAACCAGTGAGGTTACATACCTGCTCCTGAAGAAAAACTGTGTACTCTGGTGTTTTTGTGTCTTGAAGGAGTGCGAGGAAGCCAGTTGTTGATGTTGCCTATTATTGCTTTGAGATTGTGTGCATGCATGCATGCTTGTATGTGTACACATTACATGTACATGAATGTGGTAAGTATACCCATGCAGTATGTGCAGAGATCCAAGCAGGAAGTCTTATGAGATCTCTGACTTACTGCCCTCAGACAGGATCTCTCAGTAAATTGAAATGTTCACTGTTACTCCTGGTCATAGCACACTCCCTGGATCAGCATGTCTCCACCTTCCCAAGGTTGGGGTTATAGGCACACAAAACCATGCTCACCTTTCTATGTAGGTAGGTTCTGGGGATTTGAACTCAGGTTCCCAAGCTTGCAGGACAATCACTTACCAGTAGAAAGTCTCAGGCCTGGTTTTCCCCTAGATAGAATCTCACTCTTTAGCCCAGGCTTATCTTGAACTTGCAGCAGTTCTCCTGTGTCAGTCTTCCCTGTCCTGGAATTACAGAGATGAGCTAACTATATCCAAACATTGCTTGTTTTAAATTGTATCCCACCAAATCCTGCTTTCCAGGAAGAGGTCCAAAAGGGTAGCAATCTAAGGTTGTGCACTTGGTTAATAAAAAGCATTAGTTCTCTGCTCATAATTTCACTTTTGCTTTTGAGACTAGAACTCAGAACTCATTAACTCCAGAATGATCTTGAGCTCAAAGCAAGTCTCCTGTCTCAGTCTCGGATGAACTGATTAGTCATACCACCTTGATACTGCATGTGGCCATGTATGCAAAGCCAGAAGAGGACCACCTATCATTTCCCAATGAATTCCCTTTGAACAGGCTTTCCCACTGGCCCTGAAAGTTGGCTGGAGACCAGTCCACCTCACTGACCCTCCTGTCTCTGCTCCGTGGGAGTCACAGGCAGGCATGCCATCCCACTTAACTTTTATGGAGGGGCTACAGATTTGAACTCAGGTCTCTGTATCTGTGCAAGTGCTCTATCCACTGAGCTATCTTTCCATGAGAGCCTGCCCCCCTCCCCCGCCACCCCATTTGTTATATGGCTCAGGCTGTCATCATCTTGTCTCTGAGTGTTAGGATAACAGGCACACTGTCTAGGAAATGACCGTAATTTTATCAAATATTGTGACACAGCATCCAGAAACCCAAAAGCAGGGGCTGGAGAGATGGCTCAGAGGTCCCTCTTCCAGAGGTCCTGAGTTCAATTCCCAGGAAACACATGGTGGCTCACAACCATCTGTAATGAGATCTGGTGCTCTCTTCTGGCCTGGAGGCAGACATGCAAACAGAACACTGCAAACATAATAAACAAACAAGCAAAGCTAAACAACAACAACAAAAACCCAACCCGTAAAACCCCAAAGCAACCTTGTAGTATATACCACTGCTTCACTGGATGCATTTCCAAACTGTATTTCTGCTATTGAACTAGATGTTAACCTGATTACTTATCAACACTTAAATTGAAAATTCTCCATTTTTACACTAGTTCATATTTAAAATAGTGATGAATGGGCCAGCCTGTACATGGCAGCCATAGATTTCCAAGATGTAGTTACTCCCCTCCCCCCATAAACACCATCAGATTCTTCAGAAAGCCTGCATCCCACAGGTGCTTCCTGGATGGGAATGCTCTGCATAAGGGTGCTGGAGACATTACCACATTACACCATTCAACCAGGTGACTTTTCTAACAGGCTTCCAAGGCACCTAGACCTTCCCAAACCACTTCCCAAGTCCATTATTATGGCTGATGCTACCAGGTGTTCAGGATTTTTAGCACTTGGCTCTTCACCACAGAAAAGCCGGCTCCGTGACTACATACATTAGGGTGTGGAGTGTTCAGCCAGTCCAGGAAAGCACTTTAGCATGGTGGAGAACTGCTCTGGTGCTTCAGCCCACAGGTGGTCTCCTGTGGGCACTTTGTTACACAGAAGCCAGCATATTTTAGATTAAGTGGATACGAAATACAAAGTATTTATTTGGGATCAGCCTAGATTTGTTCATGAATACATTTTGTAGGGTGAAGGCCCAGTAATGTCATGGAGGGGAAGGAAAGAACCGGGCCAGGAGCTGCAGCTGACAGAGACCCAGAGGCATCACACCCACTCACCGGCCTGGATGAAGCTCGAGTGCAGTGATGAGGTCTTCCATGCAGGCTGATGTGCTCTGGTAAACTCCGCTTGACTACAAAGCAGCATTTAGCTTAAGCTCAGGATTTTTTTTCACTTTAGGTGTGCATGTGCACGTGCACACACACATACCTTAAGCACAAGCACGCATGAGCACTAGCATATGCCTGGATGTCAGAGGACCGACCGATTTGCAGAATCTGATCCTCTAACAAGTGAACCCAGGGGTCAGGCTCTGGGCAGTGAGCACTTTTACCTGCTGAGGCGTCTTGCCAGCCCAATTTTTTAATCCCTTCCAAAGGTATCTTTGGGATTCTTTTTTTTCCCCCTAAATGACTTACTTTACGTGCATTGGTATTTGGTATGAATGCATGTCTGTGTTGGGTTCCCTGAAGCTGGATCCCCTGTAAGAGTAGCCTGTGCTCTTAACCACTGAGCCATTTCTCCTTTGGATTCTCAACTACTGTAATGATTAATGGGAGATTTAAAAATCAGTGGTATTATTGGGGTGACCTGCTGCCTGCAATACTAATACACATAGCTAGACTGTTTGAGGTTTGCTGTCCTGGACCTCAAGGGCACGGCCACCTAAACACAGTCACCGGACAAATACACACACGGCCCACACACACACCATCATCCCACAGTCAGAAGCAACTGGGATTAGACAATAAGCAGCCAGCACACGTGTGACAGCTGTCAAAAGGAAACGTCGCTTTACTTGATTTTAAACTTGCAATGCTTGCCTTTATTTTGTTCCTTATATTTTGAAAGTGAAAAGAAATAGTATTGAGTCAGTTCCTTATGTTTTTAAATATTTGTTGTTCTATGTATTTACAAGCCTTAAGGGTGCTCTAGCCATTTCAATGGTATTCAGGTTATTTTCCAGGGTAGCACTTTTTCTGAACAAGTCTTGGATTTTTCTGGTCCATAGTACTTCCTTCTGTTCCAAGGTTATGTATGTTTTGTGATTACTAGTGTGATTTTTATATTTTTTGAAGCAAGCTGAGAGGCAGGCAGAAAGATCTGATGCCAGGGGTGGGAGTGGGGCAAGAGGGAGAGAGAAGCAGAGGGAGAGGGGATGGGAAGGAGGGAGAGAGAGAGGGAGAGAGGGAGGGACGAGAGGGAAGAGAGAGAGAGAGAGAGAGAGAGAGAGAGAGAGAGAGAGAGAGAGAGAGAGAGAGAGAGAGAGAGAGAGATCTTTCTTACCTTGTCCACCCCAAACCTTCTCAAATCTGGACTAACAGCTATGTCTTAACACAAATGTGAGGTGCATCTGAAGGGAAGGGAAATTTATTTTTCTGCTTTTCTATTATACAAGTTGTTTACAGAAACTGCAAATTAAAAAATTACACACTGGCATTTGCAGTCCTTAAAATAAATTAAAAGTTCTCAACTGTTTTTTTGCCTTTCCTTTTTTTTCTTTCTTTTTTTTTTTTTTTTGCTAAATGTGTTTTTTTTTTAAGTATGAGTCCTCGTTTAAAAAGAAAAGATTAAAACAGAAAATATTTTCTATAAATAGTGATGTATTTTGGTTTCCGAGCTCCCGCCCTCAGGTCTGCTGTCTCCTTGTTCCAGCACCTTTATCCTCCATGATCACCTGTTTCCTTTTCCCTCTCCCACTCGTGCACACGTGGGGTTTCTGCGAGAGTTGGCCTTGCTGCACTGTGATTGGCGAAGACGTGAAACTTTTTAAAAAAATACTTAAATTGTTTCTTTTGTTTCGTTTGTGTATTTGAAGTATTAGTTATCCTCGGACTCCTCTTCCGCTTCCCGCAGCCACGTGAAAAATGCTGTGACAGATTTGAGGGCCACGCCCTTCCCGTTCTGTTCTGCAGGGTCCTTGCTGCTCTCCCATTTGTAGAAGGCATCTTCTGAGATCACCTCCTCGTCATACAGGCAATCAAAAAACATCCGGAGCAAATCTGCAAGTGGGTGAAAACAGCCATTGGTCTGGGTACTGCAGTTGCCAGGGAAAGCAATGATGTGTGAATGAGCAGTGGATGAATGAATGAAAGCAGGGAATGAGTGAATCAACAGAATGAACAAATATTGGCTTCCTAGGACCTCACACCACTTGCTCTTGATGCTGAGGAACATGGTGGCACCCATTTGCAGAGGAAAACCCTAAGCAGCCTACATTACCTCTATACCTTTATTTTATTCAAATCCAATGATGTTCACATGCCAGTGAGGCTGTCTCCTATCATGTAGTTACAAAATTAAATACTTTAAAAATTCTAAGGCTGTACTAAAAACAAAGGGACACTACATAATGCAGGCACAGGTGATCTCTGCATTTTGGTATCTTAAATATCTCAACTGTCTGAACAATTGGAATTGTTTTTCTTTTACAGTGGAAACTTGTATTACTACTGAAAACAGGGAGAATGCTGTTAGAGACATTAAGCTCCTTTAAATGTATTTATTCTTTCTTTAAAAGTTCCTTGGAACTGAGTTCAATCCACAGCACTGCAAGAGAAAAAAGGAAAATTCCTTCATGATAGTATTTCACTATGTAGCTCTGGCTGACCTTGAACTCACAGAGATCTACTTGCCTCTGCCCACTGAGTCCTGAGATTAAATATGTGCATAGTCAGCTTCCTGATCATCACACTAAAGGACTCAGCAGTGAATGAATGACAAACACCAATTAATATGAGAACCAGACAGATTCTTAATTACATTTTTAGATTAATTTTTAAACTATATTAGTTTAACACTGAAACAAATCAAGCCTCTCCCCTAACCCAACAAAAACAAAATAAACAACTCTAATTGATCTACAGGGATATGGAGCAAGGCCACAAGTCTGTCTGCTGCAGGTTCCCAAACCAACAGTTCCCAGGATGACTGAAGTCGATATACTGGGATTCCTAATATCAACTAAGCAGCCACTTCATCAGACAGCATCTCATCTGAAAAGCTAGTGTCCTCTTCTGCAAGAGAAGCACCCTGTCCTGTTACATGACCTCACATGTAAAACAGCTACAGTTTTGGATTTAGACTTATGCTCTGAGGATAACTTGTTTTAGCCCTTTCTGTCTCCCAGGAAGATTCAGGAGCACTTTCACTTTCGAAGGAAAATGATGCAAAAGTCATAACCCAAGCAAAGTGTCTGGGAACCACTCAATAAACCTGAAATAAGGTCCATCCATGTGCACAAACCAAAGTAAATTCCTGAGTACGTCAGTGATTCACTGGCCAGTACCTAACACTGGGATGTGTGAGTAACTGATGCCTTGGTAAATGCCAGTGGCTTAGGATGCTGAGATCACTGGGCAGCCTCAAGGCTATTCAATATGCATCCGATATCCACATGGGACCACTTAAATGCAAGTTAAATAAAATGGAAAACTCAGTGCTTAGTCACCACGGCCACGGCATCTCAGGTGACCAGGTCCCCACAATGAGCAGTACACACATCAGCTGTGACAGGAGGGTCCACTCTGTATGCCAGGCTCACCTCTTTGACTTGAGAAGACACGCTCCCCTTGCCCTTGGCCACCCCATTAAGTGTTTGTGTCTTCTGTGCATGGACATATATCTGTGCACCAAGTACATGCCTGGTGGCTCTGGAGATGGGAAGAGGGCGCTGGATTTCCTGGAACTGGAGTTCCAAATGGCAGTAAGTGGCCATGTGGGTGCTAGGAACTGAGCCTGGGTCCACGGGAAGAACAGCCATTGACTTCACACTTGAACTATACCTCTCCAGGCCCTAAAAATAAACACCCCCTCTACCTCCCGAGTTTTTGAGACAGGGTTTTGTTCTCTGTACAGCCCTGGCTGTCTTGGAACTTGCTCTGTAGACGAGGCTGGCCTCTGCCTCCTGAGTTCTGGGATTTAAGGCATGCACCACCACCGCCCAGCTAAACTAGACTTAGCATTTTCTCACATAGGTTTTCACATAGTTGATTCTAAAGGTTGCTGCAAGTCGTCCTTTTCCCCATGTCCAAACCCCAACTTTCAAGGCTTATAAGCTCTCCCTGAGAGGTTGGGCTCTCTGTGCCAAGATGGAGACTTACTGGCAGGTTGGTCAAGTTTTACTATTGACGCTTGTAGTGCATAAAGTGCTTGCAGTTCCTTCTCTGTGTCTGAGTCTAGGTACTTGAGTAAGATCGGCACTCTCTGCTTAATCACGGCAGTGTCCACTCTGAAGCTAGGACAGTCAGCTGCAGGGACAGGAGAACCAGAGTCAACTCATTTCTGCTGCTCTGAGTACAGCGCATACACACATTTGGGAAAGGTGAGGTAAGGGGTCAAAAGCAAAGACTGGAATCTGTAGGAATTCAAGTGAGTATTTTAAAAAAGCAAAAATGAAGCAAAATTGGGAGCTGCAGCTATAGCTTGATGAACAAGTGCTCATGTTTATATGGCATAGACATTTAAGCAATAAGACAGACTTGGTCACATGTACCTACGATTTAAACACGAGGGAGTCATAAACAGGAGATTAAGGAGTTCAAGGCCATCCTGAGCAACACTGTCAGCTTGAAGTTAGCCTGGTCTATATGAGCCCCCACCTCCAAAAACAAACAAAAAACCAAAACCAAAAACCACCACCACCACCACCAAAACCATTAAAAAATATTCAACCCGTTCATGAATGGAAGACATGGCCTTGATGATAGAAAGAAAAAGTGGAAAGAAAAATCTATGTGGACCCAAGAAGTATTAAACAGTCGTGGTCAACCACAGAACGCAAGGTAGCAGGTGACATTAAGCAGGTTCTCACTGAGAGATCAACTATTCACTCATGATTGAGAGAGACAGCAGGTAGCACGATATGATGCCACCACTTGCGCAGAAACTGCAAGTTCCAAGACCATATAAAATCAGATCATGAAATGCAAAGCCAAAAATTGTACTTCAGATGCTAGGAATTACTAACAACAAATGTCACTTACCTATAATAGCCGCTTTGCAAACAGCCGTCATTAAAGCTCTAAGGAATGTAGGTGAACTCATCTGGCTCTCGTCTAGATTAGCCTGGAAATGAAAACAGAAGGAATGCATGTTAGAGCAAGGTGCTTGCACTTGTCTGTGAAAACGCTGCAGGCAGCCACTCAGGTTTGAGGGACTTCTTCCTCAGTCAATCACACAGCGCCATGTACGACGCTCATTTGGAAGTACAACCGCTAAACAACAGCATTCCTTAATAATAACCCACAAAAGGAGACCTGCCCATGTCTACACATTCAAAAGCAGCTGCACCACAGCTGAGTGTGGGTGCTCAGGCCTTTTAATTACACCACCGGGGGTTTCGAGAGGTGGAAAGGAGGGAGGGCAGGGTAGATACTCTGAGTTCTAGGCAGCCAGGTCTTGAGGCCAGCCAGAGCAACACAGTAAGCTTCACTGCACCAGGAGTGCAGTGTAGCCTGGGCCATGTTGTCAGCACTGTGCCACTTTGTCCTTGGACCAACACTGCTGTAATCTTCATCTACAGAAAATGGGGCTGATTTCCAGGCCAGCCTGGAACAAAGCCTTCAGGTGTTGAGAAACTTGTTCCTCTTACCTAAGGATGTCAAGAAAAAGTGCATTAACAGATGTGAATTGACCTTGTTGCTAGGGTTACACTAAGCTGATATGCAGCAGCAGAAAAAGACAAACAACTGGAGACACTCCCTAAGACAGTGTTTCAAATACTCCAATAGAATCACACAGTCTTTTCCATCAGAGTCAGTCTGAACAAAGTGCCTGGCAAGAAACCCTGAAGATGTCATTGTCCATTTTTATGAAAGAAAGCTTAGCCATCCAAGGCTGGTCTTGATGGACTTTATAACTAAGGCAAATCAAGGCAGCCTCTCACTGACACCTGCCCTCAAATCCCACTCAGCAGGAACTTCTCTGATCAGCTAGGGTAGGCAGGCAGATGGCCAGCTCTTTGGGACACCAGCTAGGAATGACTTTGTTCCACTGGAGGTTTCACGGCCAGGTCAACCACAGAAACAGAAGCATGTGCAGCCACTGCCTCATCTGGGGAGGGGCTGTGGGGAGCAGGAGGTGCCAACTGACACACTGAGAAGATGTGTTACAGCAACTGCTTTACACCTCCTTAAAAGTACTTAGCTGGCCATGGCGAAGCACTGTGTGGCGAGCACTGAGCTCACTGCACACCTGGCTTATATAGAGAGACCTCTCAACAAACAAGCAACACTCAAAACAACCAATATAAAAACAAACATAAGTATGACAAACAAAACAAAAACAACAAATCCAAATAACTTAATTTGGATTGAAGCCAAGTCTCAAAGAGTTACTTTTTAAAACTTGGGGACAACTATTTTTGAAGAATAAATAACAAAAAAAAAATTAGTGTGTGATTCTGAAAATAATGTATTATCTGTGTGCTCAATACTTTAATTCATTCCATCCATCCATCCATCCATCCATCCATCCATCCATCCATCCATCCATCCATCCATCCATCCATCCAAGCAAGTTTACTCTGTGTAGTCTTGTTGACCAGGCTGGCCTCAAACTCACAGACCTGCCTCTGCCTCCCCAGTGCTGGGATTAAAAGGTGTGCACCACCACTGCCATTCAACAATATTGTTGAAAAACAGGTTAGCAGAGCAATTTAAATACTGAACAATACTTGAAATCCACAATGGATGAAATTCAAAGCAACATGAGCAAAATCAACCAATTAGCTAAACATAATTAGACAACAACACTTCTAAATCATTTGAGTGTTCCTTCTCAAGGGCTACCAAGGAATAAACGGCTCCTTCTTGTATAAGTAAGACCAAGTATTCTGATTCTAGCATCTACAGTAGAAAAGACTTGGGAAAAACTGCAAACAAGGCTCCAGATTAAGCAAAAATGTGGACAAAGGAAGGAAGATGGGTCTGCCAAAGGCTGTCAGAAGCCAGACTCAGGCATAGGTACTGACAGACCAGGCACTTAATATGGTTTTCCTGCTCTCTTGTCTGCGTTTGTAAAAGAAGTTATCTTTATTACACAGAATTTGCATTTGTTGGAAATTTATCCTTTGTTTTCTCTTTAAGAAAATAATCAAATAATTTTTCCATTTATTTACTTGGTTCGTGTGTCTTGTGAGCGGAAGTTAAAGGACAGCTTTCAGGAGCTTGTCGCTGCTCCCTTACGTGAGTTCTGGGGATTGAACTAGGGCATCAGGCTTGGCTGCAGAGTCTTTACTTGCTGAGCCTTCTTTCAAGAACAGACACTAGCATAAACATGAAGCTGGCCAGTAACTGTAGCCTCTCTTTAATCTCAGCAGAGGCAGGCAATCTACAGAGTGGGTTCCGGAGCCACTAATACAGAGAGCTTATCTCAAAACTCCCATGAAGCTGGGTGGGAGCTGGAGAACGATTTGGGAGAGCTAGGGCAGAGAAAAGCATGTGAAATATATGAATTCTCAAATTATCCTTGCTGAGACTGTTTAACTTGAATTCTAATGAAACTATTGCAAATGCTAGCATATCAGAAACTAAGAGTGGTCAAATATGTGCTAAGTTTTGATAAAGAAATTTGGTAAGCCAAGTGTTGGTGGCGCATGCCTTTAATCCTGGCACTCGGGAGACAGAGGCAGGCGGATCTCTGTGAGTTCAAGACCAGCCCGGACTACAAGAGCTAGTTCCAGGATAGCCTCCAAAGCCGCAGAGAAACCCTGTCTTGAAAAACCAAAAAAAAAAAAAAAAAAAAAAAAAAAGAAAAGAAAAAAGGAAATTTGTTAATTTGTAATAAAGTTTAACAATTATAAGACAAAATCACCACAAACTGTAATGAATTAAAAACTGAAAGTTCAAACTACTGACATACTGTCCATCTATGGAAAACCACGAAGGGAATGGTGCCAAGTATATAAGCTACAGCCTGGCTTTAACAGCCGGTGTGTGTTACTGCACGCACCAGAAGGTCCAAGACTGAGGCTATGCTGAGTTCCAGAATAAACAAAGCTGCGTTGGTGACATAGTGTTTAGCATGGCTGCCGTCTAAGAATACATTGTAACATGAATGGATTAAGAAGATTAGGAAAAAGATGACTACACTGAGGAAGGCACAGAGGTCCTTGTGCTCACAGATAAGCACTGTGGGAATCAGGAATGTTAACCACACAGGGTTGGAATGAGACCCAGAGAAATGGGGTTGTGCCCTCAATAGGTTTTTCCTTGACTTGCCAGACTGAAATTGACTGGGGATGGTGGCACACAGCAGCAGAGGCAAGGAGATCTCTATGAGTTTGAAAGCAGCCTTGTTTACTTAGCAAGCACCAGACTAGCCAGGGCTACACATAATGTGGCCCCGCCTGAAGAAAACAAAACGACAACAACAAAACCAACCTACCCAGGTAAAACCTAAATCAATAAAATAAAAATAATAAAAAGACTGAGCACTTATAAAAACCTCTAAGTGGCCTTTGAATTTCAAATACACTGTATACATACATACATACTGGCACAAAAGCCACAGTGTATGACGGGGAAGTGGTCTGAAGTAAGGGACTGCCATGGGAGCTCCGAGGACCCACTGGCACTGGACTGAGTGACAGCAGAGCATGGTCGGTGTCTGTACCTCTACCCAGTCAAAGATCCGCTCATCATCCGCTTTGTCCTCCATGATGAGTTTCTCCAGCCTTTGAGACAGCTCCTCAGCAGAGAGTTCTCGCTTTGAAAGTGCTTCCGAGGAACAGGAACTTTCTGTCTCTATGAATTCTAATTTCTGGAACCAAATATGAAACATTGATAGTGTTCAGTGTGATGATTACATGAGACATGAGTTTGATTCCAAATTCCAGAGAGATCTGCCACTCATGGCCTGAGGGCATCTGCACTAGGAGACACAATACCTAATTAAATCTATTTTTTAAATTAAAAAACACTAATAATATTTGTATGCATGTGTGTACATGACATGTATGGGCACAAATGTGGGAGGTCAGAGAATACCTGTTAATCCCGTGTCCTTGTGGGCATGTGTACTGAAGTGCAGGTGCTCTCAGAGGTCAGAAAAGGGTGTTCAACCTCTTGGAGCTGGAGTTATTATAGTGGCTGTCTGCAGCCTGACATGGAATTTTACAGCAACAGTACACAATCTTACCTGCTGAGTCATTGCTCTATGCCAAACTCTGTTCTCCCACCTGACATGGATCCTCAGGAATGAACTCAGGCCACCAGGAGTGCAACAAGTGCCTTTACCTGCAGCCGTCTTGCCAGCTCAATTGTCAAACCCTTACATCGTGCATTTTTCTGCATAAAAGGCAAACTAACTCCCTGCCTTGCTACCTCCAGATCACTGTGAGCTGCAGCCTTGCAGGGAGTTATAACGCAGGAGCCCAAGGTCTAAGACTGTAGCCTCTCCACAAAAGAACAGTGGCAGCTCTGGATCCTATGGCCCCTGATCACGCTAAGCACAAGGGCAAAAAATGGTGCTATCAGTTGTTACAGAAACAGGGAGCTGACAAGTCAGTAACCAAACCATACTGTTCAGTCAGGCTACAATAAGATGTGTGACTATGTCTGGCTTTACATCATCTTTGCACACAAACTACGAAGACAAACATGAGTACTAAATGTCATTAAAGTCAAGTTCATTTGAATTGTTTTTACCCCAGTGCTTCATTTCTTCCAGAATCGCCTGACTCACCCCTCTACCTTTCTCTCCTTTTCCCCCTTTTGCAGCTTTGAATGGAACCTGAGACCGTGAGAGTGTCACATGAGCATTTTGTTACTCAGCCACACCAGCCCTGGCCCCACACAGATACAAAGTCCTTTTCTTGATGTTTCTCTGGCTCAGTGCTGGTAAGCAGCCCACTCCCCATACTTTCAAGACAGCCACGAGCTTCTTAAGAACTGTCAATCAAGGGCTGAAGAGCTGACTCAGTGGTTAAGAGCATAGCACAGGCTGCTCATCTAGAAAACTCAGGTTCAATTCTGCCCACGTGGTGCTTACAACCATCTGTAATTCTAGTTCCAGGAGATCTGACCTGGCCTCCCTGTATACCAGGCATGCTCCTGGAGTACATACATACACACAGGCAAAACATCACACACATAAAATAAAAGCCATCAATGTTGTATAACCATAAACTTTTCACATGATTCTAATGCTGTGAGGGATTCAGTGCCTTCAAGGAAAACCTCCTAAAATTCCACCAGATTTTACTGAACTTACTTTGAGCTATAATGCAATTACCAGTTTTAAAATGTCAATAAAAGTAGGAACATAGCCGGGCGTTGGTGGCGCACGCCTTTAATCCCAGCACTCGGGAGGCAGAGGCAGGCGGATCTCTGTAAGTTCAAGACCAGCCTGGACTACCAAGGGAGTTTCAGGACAGCCTCCAAAGCCACAGAGAAACCCTGTCTCAAAAACAAAACAAAACAAAACAAAAACAAAAAACAAAAAAAATAAAAGTAGGAACATTTGCAAACAAAGCTGTACCACTGACAAGGTAAGAGAAACCTCCTTCCTAGTACCTCGAGGGCTGGGCTTTCACTTATAACTGAGTTCACCATAACATCTTTTGTTGTTGCCAGGTTTTGACAAAGGGTCACTGTGGTAGTTTGAATGTAATTGGCCCCCATAACCTCACAGGGAGTGGCACTAGTAGAGGAGGTGTGGCTTTGTTGGAGTGGGTGTGGCCTTGTTGGAGGAAGTGTGTCACTGTGGGGGTGGGCTTTGAGGTTTCCTATGCTCAAGATAGGACCCAGTGTCTCAACTGACTTCCTGGTGCCTGCAAGATGTAGTAGGACACTCAGCTACTCCTTCAGTACCATGTCTGTCTGCATACTGCCATGGTAATGGACTGAACCTCTGAAACTGTAAGCAAGCCCCCCCCTCAATTAAATATTTTCCTTGTACAATTTGCCATGGTGGTGGGGAGGGGAGGGGGGTGGCTCAGCGATTAAGAGCACTGACTGTTCTTCTAGAGGTCCTGAGTTCAATTCTTGACAACCACATGGTGGCTCACAATCACTTTGAATGAGATCTGGTGCTTTCTGCTGGCATGCGGGACGAAGACTGTATACATAATGAAATATTTTTAAAAATTATTAAATAACTATTTGCTGTAGTCATGGTGTCTCTTCACAGCAATAGACACCCTAATTAATACAGTCTCATAGCCCAGGTTGGCTTCCAACTCATTATGTAGCCAAGGATAACAGTTAACTCCTGTTCCCTACTCACTCCTGCATTTGTCTTCTAAATCACAGGCAACAAAGGGAATGTAACCTGAACCAGACACCCACTCTCGGGCTACTGCACAGGGTAGGTCCAGGCATGAGTCTGCACTAACCTCCCAGTGTCTGGATTTTTTTCCTGAGGCACTGCTTAACATGTATCAATAACTTCATCTCCCTGAGTTCAAGAATGAATTTTCAACAGGGTCTCACTATGTGGTCCTGGCTTGGCAGGCCCAGAAATCAGCCTGCTTCTGCTCAGTGTGGGGATCAGGTGTGCAGCAAAAGGGAAGCAGACAGACCGCTTTGGTTTTCCACAACTGAGACTGCTTTGTGGAGTTCACAATATTCCTTGGTATTGCTTAGTGTTTAGATATGTGGTAGAATTCACAGAAAGACCATGGATCCTCAAGTTTTCTCTGTAGGAACATTTTTAAGTAAAAACACAATCTCTGTTCTAGATATCTGTTCACTTCAATGACGTTAACGAATATATTAGTGTAAAATGTATTCTAACATTTTGGAACAAAATTCATAATAGTGTCACCTCTTTTGCAGTAGGGATCATTTTGCCTTTTTTGCTAAAACTTTTCTTCTAGTCCAATGGTGGTGGTAGCACATGCTTTTGTTTTGAGTTTTTCAAAGCCAGGGGCTATCCAGAGTGGCTTCAAACTGCCTCTGCCTCCCAAGTGCTGGGATTAAAGGTGTGCCCAGTGGTGGAGTTCAAGGACGGCCTTAGGTTCATAGTGAGTTAAAGAAGTAGTTGCTTAGCTATCTCTTCAGCCCTGTGGCTGAAGCAAGTACACAGCGACTCGGATGGTGTTTTTATCCCAAAGATGACACTCCCTTGCTTTTGTTCTGTTACACTGCTCAAGTTGGCCTCAAATTTATGGTAAATAAGTAATCCTCTTGTATCACGCTCCTGAATAGCTGTGATTCCAAGAGAATCCCACACCACACTGCAAAGCAATGGGCTTGACATTTATTATTTTTTAAATTGACATTATTTATTTTTACTACTGTAGTTTTTTGTTTGTTGGTTGGTTTAAAATTTTTTTCTCCTTTGGAGATGGAGTAGTCCTGGATAGCTTTCTCTTTGTAGACCAGGATAGCTTCAAATTCACAGAGACACCTGACTCCTGAGTGCTAGGATTATGTGCACCAGCAGATACGTCATTACTGTTCGCTATAACTGGCCTTAGTTCCAGTTTTCCTGAAGTAATTTTGTTTGTCTGAAACAGTATCTCCCCATGAAGCCTGCACGATTATCTGCAGATCTGTAGATCTTACCTCAGCCCCCAAGAGGTGGGATCCCAGGTACAGGCACACAGTGTCCGACCTCAAGTGTTCTTGGCATCCCACAGTTGCTTGTTTAGTACTAGAGTGCATTGCTGTTGCACTTTGGCTTATAAATTTCTGCATTTGGCTATCAAATCAGAGGCCCCTACGATGACTGTCAATGGGGTTTTAAAAAGCCTGTTTATGATTCTCTGCCTTATAAGTGGCATTCTAGCCCCTCCCCCTTGTCCCCAGTACCTTGTGGCTTCAAACTGGAGGCTGCTCAGTCAGAATACTGGCAGTTTTTGTGATGTCATTTTATTCATCAAGTTCACTTCTGGGTCACTAAGAGTCTGTTAAGTATCCTTTTTGAACTGTGCGTATATACGTGGGTTTAGTCATGTGTGTACACATGCATATATGCAGGTGCATGCATGTGTAGGTCAGAGGACAACCTTGGGTTTTGTTTTGAAACAGGGTCTCTCACAGGCCTGGAACTCACTTATCAGGCTAGATTGTCTGCCCAGCAGGATTACCAATCTTCTAGTCTCTGACTCCCCAGTGCTGGGATACAAGAACACATCATTTCTTGGCATTTTTACAGAGGTTCTCTCAAACTCAGGTTCTCAACGCTTGCAGTTTCCTGGTGTTGGGGAACAGAGGAAGCCCTGTGTGTGAAGTCCTGGGTGAATGTGCGCCATGTCAAGGACCCCACGGCCTCAGATTCAGAGGGAAACGGCAAAGCCTTCCTTTATGGTCCATGTATGAATGTTATCTGTATGCAGAAACCCTGCCTCTCTGTTCTATAATAAACACGCTGAGCTGGCAGGGTGCTACAGGTTCTCCATGAGAGAGAGGCCAGTGCACCCCAATGAAACTTGCCTGTCCATGCATCTGTATAGGCTGCATTCGGGTCTGTTCCTGAGATGTGCTGGATGTGTTACCCGGCACCTAAAATTATCTGCTGGCTGTATGGCTGGAGAAGCCTTAAAATACGAACTTCAGGGCTGGAGAGATGGCTCAGAGGTTAAGAGCACTGACTGCTCTTCCAGGGGTCCTGAGTTCAATTCCCAGCAACCACAAGGTGGCTCACAACCATCTACAATTCAATCTGGTGCCCTCTTCTGGCATGTAGGCAGAACACTGTATATGTGATAAATAACTAAATCTTTAAAACTAAAAACAAAAAACACGAACTTCAAATGCTGCCTCCAATAAGGCTCTCATTTTTGTCTTTGTTGCTGAAATGTTGGGGATTGAAACCCAAGGCTTTACTAATGAGTCAAGATTCTAGTCCACCAATAGTACTAGTTTGATTTACTTATCATTGTCATCATTTGCAGTCATGTGGATAGAACCCAGGTCCTCAAGAACGCTATAAAAGGGCTCTAACAACCTCAAACCAACCACTATCAAAAGGAACTGTTACTCACCTGCTCCACGAGAAAATTATGTACATCTTCCCCTTCTGGTAAAAAGTCCTTCCAGCTGAGGTCAGCCTCCCTCCATAAGGCGCCTACTTTCTTATGGCTCTAAAACAGAGATAAACCCATCCATCAGTTTCGTTTGTAAGAAGGAAAAAAAGGTTTGCTTGATGTAAAAAGTGCAGAACTCTAAAGACTAAAAAATAATAAAAACAAAAATTCAGTATTGTTCTTACTAACGGGACTATTATCTTTCAAACAGAGATGCCTGAATATATGTAAATGTAATGGTGATTCTGGCATTTTAGTCACACCGATAACCCCAGAACTTGAGTTCAAGGCCAGCCTGGACTACACAATGAATTCCAGGATAGTCTGGGCTACAGAGCTGACCTTGTCTCCCAAATCTAAAAATAAATAAATATATAAATAAACAAGGAAAACAGTGAATGACTTAGTTTAACTGCTTATGAATCAACTATTCATTTACTAGATGTTTCATTTAGGAAACTGCCAACAATTACTAAACATCCAAACACACCATGTTTCCATGTTTACACTGTTTCCCCCTCCTGGATGGCTCTGCATATACATACACCTCACAAAGCCAGGCACACGCCTCTCTGGTATCCCCCATCAGAGATCACCTTTCAGCTTGAGCAGAAGAATCATGCTCAGCTGGAAGCACATGAGCAGGTGCCCTTGCTGCCTCATAAAGATGATGTCATTAACCATGACATCATCATACATTAGACCAAGAGAAGAGCTGGTTTTAGCTGAGCGGTGTGGCACACGCCTGTAATCCCACTACTTGGGAAAGTAGGTACAAAGACAGCCATACATTTGAGCCTAGCCTGGGCTGTATACTGGTACTTTTTCTCAAAATCATAAACAACACACACACACACACACACACCCCAGAAAAAAAAAAACACATCAAAACTCTGGTTTTGTTAATAAAAAAATCAAAGTTTATAACAAATTTTAGGTAAGAACTCTAAAGGAGGTAGAAGAGGGAACATTGAATTTAAAAGAATAGTAAAGCAGACATTTTAGTGCTATAAGACAGCATTATCACAAAACAGGATGTCACTAGAGCAAGCTATGGAAAGCATCTGTTTTACACGGGTCTCACAAATGGGCACTGAAGGGATTCTGCGGGTCAGAGCAAGACAGGAAGGAAAATAAAAATGACAACTTACAAAATTGTAATCTATCATCCCAGTACCTCCAGCTCAGATGGAGCCCAGCAGGGGCTCCAGCATCTTCCAGAGAGTTCTGCTCTGTGTTAAATTTCTCTTCTGGACACCAAGCCATGAAGTCATCCCGCCCCAATGGCTCATACCTGCCTATCTCCCTCAACCTATACAGACTTTGAAGGATAATTATCTTTGAATTACAGGCATTTAACTGGAAAACTTCACCATCTTGCACAAACATTTTTACCTCCTATTTCTAATTAGATTAGACTACCATTCCATTAGTCAAAAGTAATAAAATTAACCATTTTGTGACTCCTGTCTGAAAGTTTTTATTTTTGTTTTGTGAATAAATGAGTGCTTTGACTGATGTAGGCTGAAAGGATGCATTGGAACCCCTGGAGCTGGAGTTATACATAGCTGTGAGTCACTATGTGGGTGCTGGGGTCTGAACCAGGGTCCTCTGCAAGAGCAGAAGGTTTTCTTAATCACCGAGGAATCTCTCCAGTCCCACTCTGAAAGTTTTTTTTTTAATTGAAATCTATTAAAAGTATTAACATAGTCATTTTGTTTCAAGAAAAGACAAAACTCACAGGCACAAATAATGAGTATCTTTGGATTCTTTACAACTACAGCAATCCATTCTAGTGAGATTGGACAATTCTTCTTGGTGACAGAAGAGCAAAGGCGCCTCTGATAGGAACAAGCCAAGCAGACTTGCAGACAAAGACGTGGACTGGTCACATCACTGCCCTTCTGGCCACATCAATGGGTCTGACACTCAACTCACACTCACCATTTGTTTGCATAGAAGGTGCAGGATTTCAGAAAGCAGGACCCCGGCTCTTCCGACGGGAAGTAAAGGCTTGCTAAATTCTCTGTAAAAGACAGGAGCCGCGAATAAGTACCAAGCAGGGAGTATGCAGGCTAGCCAATCAGACTCCCTGGTCACCTCATGCTTCGTGGATGGGCAGGAGAGGGGCTGTGGATGTCCTGGATTGTCAGGCACTTCAGTGACTCTGCTTACCCACAAAGTCAAATGAAAGAGTGACACTCATTTAAGGCTCAGTCACAAGAACATTTAAATCAGAATGTTCTTTTCTTTACGGTATTTTCTGAGTGAAAAGAAACCTTTTTTTTTCCCATAGCCTAAACCAGTCTTCCTAAACTAAGTTCTCCAGGTCCAACATTGTAAACTCCTCAAAAAAGGTTCTCTCAGTTAACTGAGGCCATTTTTCTTGGTTGTTTTCCCACGAAGGTCTCACGATCGCCAATGTGCACTTTGTGCATTTTCAAGAGGAGGGCATGGTGTCTGCAGAGTGTAGCGGTATGAAGGACTGTAGGTGAGAAGCACGAGTAACACATGGCAGCACCCACCCCAGGTCACACCCATCTCAGGACACTGCCATCGTAACTGTGAGCATGCAAGCCATGCAGCAAAGCAGCTCAGAGCAACTCAACAAAGGTGGGCACAAACCCAGACTAACAGGAAACTCCCAGAAACAATCACCTCCGGACTCGGGAGCTGAGTCTGCAATGGCCACCACCCTCCAAGGACCAAAGGGCTCTCCTCTCCTATCACCAACATACTGCCAGTCTAGACACTGTATCCATTTCTCCTTGAAACTGAAGGCTAGAGGCATAAGTTGTGTCCATGAGTGTCCAGAGGTGCCAATGGACAGCACTATGTCACAGAGTAGGAGAGTTTTGAGTCCGTTTGCCCTGCTAGATGTTAAAAAGAACAAATACAACTTACACAATAAGTTCTCTCATGGAAATTCCCCCTTCTTTTAACATCGGGGTGACTAGTTCAGCCAGGTACAACCAAATATGGGGAATATCAATGGCCATGTCATCTGCCAATTCCAAGGTTTCAGAAAAACTGAAAAAGGAAAAAAAAAATCACTGAAATGTAATTTGAAAGTTAAAATTAAATGGAGATCCGTATCAGTAGAGTAACAAGTCTGTGCACTCTAAGCATTTCCTGTCAGGTACAATACTCTGGAATTCACACTAGTGTAGGAAGAGACCTGGACATGTAAAGGCAAACTGAAGACAGAGCAAACACCAGGAAAGTATGACTGACAGAGCCAGAGGGAGGGCAGAGAACACCTCTGTATGGAAGTGACTTCTGAAATACTTAGGTAGCCATGTAAAGTGTGGGTAAGAGCTATCATAAAATCATGGACTAAACACATGCTACCATGTAGTCAGACACAGGGAGGAGAGGCAGAATTCCCTATCTTAGAGACCCACATGATGGGAAAGCTGGAAGAACATAAGAGGGCAGGCTGCTACAAACATTATTCTAAGTTACAAGTCTTGGTGGTCTAAGGTTTTTTTCAGGCTTTTGTGCTATGATATGTAAGTATTTCTTAATGTGAAGTAAAATAAAGGGAATTTTACGCCACAGGGTGGTTAAGGTAAGAGGGGCAGTCAGCTTGAGTTTAAAATGAGCTGTAACAGAGCCCGACTGTGTCTCAAAAACACAGAAAGAATGAGAAAAGGCTTCTGGGGAGTTGGTGCAGTCATGTGTGGGCTGAAAGCTGCAGCCACTGACTTAGTGCAAAAAATACAGGGTTTTGTTAACAGTTTTCTTTCTTTCTTTCTAGACAGGGTTCCTCTGTGTAGCAAACAGTTCTAGTTGTCCTGGAACTCACTCTGTAGACTAGGCTGGCCTTAAAAATCACAGAAATCTGCCTGCCTTTGCCTCCCAAGTTCTGGGATTAAAGGCATGTGTCACCACTGCCTGGCAATGGTTTTCATACAACAGATTTTAAAACCAGAGGCGAGAGACATGCACAAATCTACCAGCTATATCAAAAGGAGGAAGGAATGAAGGGTGAGCCAGGGCTGTTGTGTCCTTATATACCACATGAGCTTGCCTTCCAGCTGCAACCCCACTCCAGTCAGGGGCGCAGCTCAGAGGCCTCCACACTACTTCATTTCCATGTAAAAGGAGCTTTCTCTACAGGGCAGAGAGGCTTTCCTGAGCTACCATTTCAAAACACTCAGTTATCAACTCACTGTGGTTTTCAGGCATCCTGATGTCAACATTTTTGACCTTACAGCTTTTGCAATGCTATGACATACACTTGCCATGCAGAAGAGACTTGGCCACACTCTCACTATGTGTACACACTCTGCTGTTAATGTGTCACTGGAGGACACAATCTAGAGGAACTCCAGGATTTGTGGGTTAATCACTTGATCCTGCCAACGCATGTTCTGTGGGCTCTCAGCATAGAGTAAACTATGTAACTGAAGTCATCCTGTCATTCAACAATACATCATTTTCATCTCATGTCACAACTAAAAAGCACCCACATTCTTGATTCTTGACTTGTATTTCCACTTTGTAGTCAGTCAGTTTACCATGGAGCAGTTTACAAACCACAGTTGGGAATCAAATCCATACTGCTGATAAAATCACCTTTTTTCCCTTCTGAACATAGGGTTTCCATAGAACAAGTACACAGGTATTTTCTCCTCCTCCTCCTTTTTTTTTTTTTTTTTTTTCCGTGGGACAGGGTTTCTGTGTGTAGTCCTGGAATTAGCTCTGGAAACCAAGCTGTCTTCAAACTCAGAGATCTACTTGCCTCTGCCTCTTGAATGCTGGGATTAAAGGTGTGAGTCACCACGCCTGGCAGTATTTTCTTTCTTTTTAAGTTTATATTGTTAAGATTCTTGTAGAAGAAAACTATTCGGTATGTAGGGACCTTTGTCTCAGGCTATCTCTGAGACCTCCAGACCATTTCACATAAACTTACAAGTTTCTGAAGGAGAAATAAACAAACCCAACAACTTTCCTTAATGAGGAAAATGGAGGATTGCTGACTTAAAACCTTGTGATAATGAGTTGTGGTTAATTTGGTCAGATCTTTTACATTATAGACACCAGATGGAGGTCTCAGAGAAAAGCACAAGATAACCTACATACACCAGTCTAGCCTACAAATTGCCGTTCTGTCAATCAACATGGCACATGATGTTAAAATACCCATAGGCTTAGGTGTGAGGATACCAACCCTTTGAAAAAGTCCTGCTTGCTGAGTTTTTCTGACTGCACCAGCTGATACAGTAAGTGGCCCATGTGATCCCTGGTGATCTGGCTCCGTTCCAGGGTGAATTCCACACCCACCTTCACAAAAACATGCAGCGGGCCCTGGGCACTCAGTTCCTCTATGCACTGCGTGGCCTCCTGTCAAACAACAAATAAAGGCTTGCTTCAAAATCTACTTACGTTAAAGCAGGACAAAGCTTTACAAACAAGACGGTTTTCCAATCGAAGTTTTTATCTTATTTAATATTAAAAGGCGTCTATAGCAAATTCCTAAAAACAAGGGGAGAGGAAAGAAAAGGAAATGCACAAAGACGGCTGCGGCAGGAGGATGGCTGTTGAGTCTGAACCTATCCTGGGCTATCCACTCACTGCAAGGCCTGCCAGGGTGACCCAGCAAGGGCCCACATCAGTACACAAGTAAAAGCATAAAAACCTGAACATGGTGGCATACATCTGTAGTCCTAGCTGTGTGGGGCTGGTTGGAAGGCTGAGGCAGGAGGATGGCTTTAATCAATTTGGAAATGGAGACTGAGTAACACGGTGAAACTGAGCTTCCTTCCCCTCCAGGAGCATGGCCTCATATGGCCAACATTTTTACATTTATTTTTGTGTTTTACATGTGTGTAGGAGCCTAGTATCTGCTGAATTAGAGTTAAAATTGGTTATGAGCTCCCATGTGGGGTACAGGGAACTAAACCTGGATCCTCTGCAAGAGCAGTTAAATATACCAGGTTAGCAATTTTATTAAAAATAACTCAAAGAACCAGTGACAAAATATGTTTCTAAACAGTGTGATGGTTCACACCTGTAATCCTAGCACTCAAGAGGTTGAGGCAGCAGGATTGCCACATGGTTTGAGGCCAGTCTCTACTACAGTATGAGACTGTTTCAAAAAACAAAAACAGATTAACATATAAATACGTCATACTGTGCTTACTGATTTTGAAAAAATGTTTTAATTAAACTTAACACTCATACATGAATATAATGTATATGGATGGTGTAAAGGTGTGTGCCATATGCATCATTTAAAAAAATCGGAAAACAAAGTATTATGAAACAAATTTAATACCAACATTAAAAGACCTCAATGTGAGTCGGGAGTGGTGACTCACGCTTTTAGTCCCAGAACTTGGGAGGCAGAGGCCAACCTGGTCCACAATAGACAGAGTTGTTAAACAGGAAAAACCCCAAACCAAGTAAGCAAGCAAGCAAGCAAATGTGGCAACAGGGTTATCTTGCCTTGGAATGCCAGTACTGGCACCATCTTCCATCACAGAAAGTTACATGGATTATGGAGTACCCTGGCTAGGCAAGTCTCTGGACTGGAGAACGGAAGCCTGTTAGACTAGCCTGCTCAGTAGCCAGTGTAGCTCCCTGCCCTCAGATGGTGCCACTGACTGCAGCAGAAGCGAAGGTCCACGGTAGCTCTATTCTGTCTTCCCACATATTCAAAAGGCTTACACTGGGGTGCACAGGAAGTCTTCAAGTTGCGACTACTGCCCCCCCTAAGTACAATGCAGCTTTTTGATGGTGACTTGGATTGAGAGCAGACACCCATGCTATGATGTCTCTTTAGAGCTCTCTAACTTTCTAAATTCTGGCACCTGTGACACGTTCTTGCCAGCTGTCTCGTGGCTGCTGCCTTTCTGCGTGCCTTGTCCTTTGCAGAGAAAGCACGAATGCAACCATTCAGTCTCCAGTTAAAACCAGAAGTAACTATTTACTGTTTGGGCAGCTGTGCACAACCAAAGTCCATGTGCAATATGTGCCCAAGGAGACCCATGAGTTTGGCCCAACACATTTGCAGATGACATGTCACAAAGATGGACATGGGCTGGTAAGACAGCTTAGCCATGAAGCATGTGTGGAAGCCAGAGGACAATTTGCAAGAGTTAGTTCACTCCTTCCACTATTTGAGACCAGGGGATTAAATCCAGGCCATCAGGAGTGGCACCAAGCATCTTACCAGCTAAGCCATCTGGCTGGCCTTATTTCCTATTTCCTAGTGTCTGCTTATTTATCATTTGTGTCCACAATTCTGTACATTTTCCCTACAACAGCCCACTATGCTATTTATGATATTTACTGCAATAAATCTCGGCAGCACTCCCTAAAATGGGGCAGAAACTCTTTAGGGAGTTCAGTAAGTATAGACCGCATAGGCTAAAAACTTCTGTGTTAGAGGCTAGCCTGGTTTACACAGTGAGTTCCAGGACAGCCAAAGTTACATAGTGAGACCTTGTCTCAAAACAAGAAACAAAAACATACATGGTAGAGCAAGACAAATAGAAGTCTTAAATTCTGGCTCCACTTACTATTACTATGTGACTGCAAGAGTATAATAATTTCTTAGCCACATACCATTCCACTTCCCAGCTGGGTCACATATAGCCAAAGCTAGTCCTGAACTTACTATGGAAATGATCAGATTTTTCTACTATTTCCACCTCCTGAGCCCTGGGATTGCAGGAGTACACTTTCAAGAACTACCACAAGTTCAAAGCCAGCCTACTCTATGTAGTGCACTCCAAGTTCGCCTGAACCACGGAGCTAGACCCTGTTCTATACTCCCACAGCAGCACAGCAATACTGTGTCTCAAAACAGAACAAAATAAATCTGTGCTGGAGGTACAAACCCAGAATCTGGGAGGCAGAGGCAGGAGAATCAAAAGTTCAACATCAACCTTGGCTACAGGGTGAGTTTGAGGCTGGCCTGGGCTACATTAGGCTCTGCCTCAAAAGCAACCAACACCAAAGCAAAACAAATAAAAATAAAACAGAACCCTCAGAACTGAAATAAACTTTTCCTACTTCCAAAGCTGGATAATGTTAGAAGTATAAGGAATGAAAGGTTGAGACATACATAAAGTGATTTTATGTACAAAAAGCAGATACAGACTATGTTGTTCAGAAAAATGAATTATGAGATTTTTGATACTAAAGCAAAAATAAGATATGACAAATGTTTACACAAGGAACACTTCCTGACCTTGAGCACAGAACTAGACTGCGTCACATGAACTTTGCCAACGCTTCCAGCTCAGAGGACATCTGTGGAGCTACCTGTTCTGTCTCTGGACGGTGGACTTTTGTTAGGCAGGAGGTCTATCCTACCAAGCATCATTTAAAGTCTAGGTGGAGAAGTTGGAAGCGCAAACACACAGGAGGGTCTTGAAGTGTCTCAGGCTGCCTGACTCTGAACACTCCCTGTGCTTGTGCGCCTTAGTTTCCCACTTATGAAATAAGAAAAGTGCTGGCAGTCACATGAGAATGATGAGGCTATGTCTAAGGGCCCAGACAGGTGGAACTGGGAGCCGTGAGTGGCCACAGTGGTAATATGCCGCCTCTGCTCCTAATGCCAGAGTCATTTTAGCCTCCTCTCAGTTACACTGACTAGAATTCATTCTCTTCCCACCCTGAAATTTGTAAATACAGAGAGTATCAATTTAAAATATGGTAACTGGAAGAAATGCATGAGTTGAGCAAACTGAACCCTGAGGACTGAGATAACTTAATCTATGTCTTCCCTGTTCATAAGGACACTCCAGACCCAGGCCAAGCTACCACGGCTCTCTGACCTGGATTGCCTAAAAGAGTTGCTTCCCTTTGCCGTCAGCACTTACCTTAAAGTCATTGATGTGTAGGAACTCATCAATGATAGACTTGGACTTCCTCTCCACTTCTTCTTCCGACAGTGTGGGTTTGTCAGGGGCTGGCACTGCGCACATTTCTGATTTCACTACGAGCGAGATTAAAAAAGAAGAAGTATCAGTGAAGCAGGACCATGGCTGGCAATATTTACACGCTCACACTGGTTTTGCAATGGAGATGTTTTGTAGATAACCGTTTGGCAGAGTTGGACACACAAGAGCAGAGTCAAGCAGTCCTTAATGCTACAACAGATAGGTCTGCTCTAAGTCACGAACAGGAATTAGGGATAGTATGAATCTTTAGGTCCACAACTTGGCAGTCTCTCTATTTTGATTTCCCTGCAATCACTCCCAGGATGACTACACAAAGGCCTTTAGAACACACAAGAGCTGGGGTGCTGAATGCCACAGTGTGTGGTACCTGCATTACACACCCTGGCTTCTCCTACTATAACTCTGTACATGCTGTTCCCACAGCAACACTCTCCAGCCCAGCCTCGAACTTACAGAGATCCGCCTGCCTCTGCCTCCCGAGTGCGCCACCACCGCCCGGCTTCTCATTTTACTTTTCTGAGAACCGTACAGTCCAAATTAAAGACACAAAGGAACTGCTACAGTATCACCAGGGCAAGCTTGGAGCACATGCATGCTTTTATATAAACAAACCCACAGAAATTACCAGAGAAGGTGAAGGCTGGAAAACACAATCTGATACCTTTTCTCTGTTAAGCAGGAATAATGTGAATGCCTTCATACCCTCCAGGGGCTATAACGCCACAGATTCTCTAATGATAACGGACAATGAGGTGCTGAAAGGACTTGTGAGAAACTCTGAATGACAAACACAGAAAGAGGATCTTGCCGTTCTGACGTCTGAAGACACTGCCCAGCAAAGGGACTGATGGCAGAGAATGACAGTGCTATGCATGTGCTGCCAGCCAGTGTGGTTCCTGAATTTTACCCATGTGCGAAGTATCTGTGGTTTGTATTTATTACTCCTTGTTTTCCTTTATTCGTATGAGTGTTGTGTCTGCACCATGTAAGTGCTGTGTCCCCATGTGTATGGGTCCTCTGGAGGAGGAGTCAGTGTTGTGAACTATAGTGTCATTTCTCCAGCCCCTGAGTTTTGCTTCTGACATTAAGGCCAACAGCTGGGTCTGTCTCACACCCCAGAGCCCTCTCACCTAGCTCCCTGGTCTTGCTTCGGTCAGCCTCGGAGCTGGCCCTCTCAGCGTCCACGCCTCCAGTCAGCTGCTTCACGGTCTCCAGCATCTCTCGGCGCTGCTCCTCCTGTGACTGATTGTCCAGCAGGTCTTTGCTGCTGCCTCTCAGGAAAGTGTTGGGACGGGCTGCTCCAGCTGGAAGTGGCTTGTCACTCTTCTCCCTGCCCATGCTCCCACGACTTAAAAGACAGAACAACACGTATCAAAAGGAAACATATTCGTATGTACTCATTTCCTATCCACAGAACACTTCAAGTATTACCAAGCAAGCTTTCTACACATAACTTTATTTTAAACCTTTTTTTTTTTTTAAGACAGTGTTTCTCTGTGTAGCTTTGGAGGCTACACATAACTTTATTTTAAATCTTTTTTTTTTTTAAAGACAGTGTTTCTCTGTGTAGCTTTGGAGGCTGTCCTGGAACTCTCTCTGTAGACCAGGCTGGTCTCGAACTCACAGAGATCTGCCTGCCTCTGCCTCCCGTGTGCTGGGATTAAAGGCATGCGCCACCAACACCCGGCCTTATTTTAAATCTTAACTTATTTTTGTGAGGGCTCACGCATGCCATGGCAGTCATATGGAGGTCAGAGGGCATCCTTAGGGGGTAAGATGTCTCCTTCACCTTAACATGGGTAGTGGGGATGAAATTCAGGTCACCACCCTTGCTTGGCAAGCATGTGACCAACTGATCCACTTGCCAGCCTCCCACCTAACTTTGGATACAAGGCACTGACTATGTGTCAAAGCATACTAACTCTCAAATCAGTCACATCTAAGCTTCCAAAGGAATACTTGCCAAGGTGTTTTAATTTTACCTTTAATAGGAAAAGGATAATTATTTTTTCTGGATAGTCTGGGATTTTTTTTTACTTAAAATAATCTGATAGACACGTACATATATCATGACAGTTTTATTTTCAAGGATCAAAGGCATTCTTTAAAAACTCCAGTATGAGCAGGTCAGTGGTGGTGCACACCTTTTATCCCAGCACTCGGGAAGCAGAGATAGGCTGATCTCTGAGTTTAAGGCCAGCCTGGTCTACAGAGCAAGTTCCAAGATAGTCAAGGCTACACAGAGAAACCTGTCTCAAAAAACAAAAAACTAAACCAAACAAACACTCCAGTGTTGGGGGCTTCTCATAGGTGACAGCTGCTGAGGGAGGTAGTTTCCTCTCATTAGCCATGTGAGCCATGGTCTGCTGCCTATGCTCCAGTCCATGCCCTATACCAGGGAGCATACTGGTGGCTCTAACTCTGCAAAGAAGGTTGTGTGTATATATGTATGCATTTATTTATATATACATGTATATGTGTGTATATATATATATATATTTGCATGTACAAATAAAAAGTAGAAGGTATAAAGTTGGAAGGATACAGGGGAAGGATGGTCCACGGGCTTTATAGGGAAGTAAATATTCCAAATACACTGTATTCATACGTGAAATCACCAAAAATTATATCATAAAGAATTAACAAAAAGACATTAACGTGGGAAATGGTGAGATGGCTCAGCAGGTAAAAGTGCTTGCTGGCAACCTAATGACTTGAATTTCATCTCTAGGACCAACTCTTTCAAGTTGTCCTGAGCTCCACACACATAAATGACACCTGCAATAACTAAAAAGTAGAAGTATGGATGACACAGAGCCCTGTCTCCTGGAAGCACTAGGTGTAAGGACTCAGGCATTATGCTGGTCTGCCCCTGTCACCTGGCAGAATGCATTCAGGAAGTAGCCTGGTCAGCCCAGGGTTCCATGACTGTGTAGTCTGCACATAGGTGCAAAGGACCCATTTAAAAGAAAGACCCCGCCCACTTACTTTCTCTTTCCCGCTGTTCCCCTGGGGCAGACAGGACTTTTCCTGTCTCCCTCTTCGCTTCTGTCCTCTCTCTGTCTCTCTTTACCTCACTTCTTCCTTTCTTCCCAATGAAACTTCTCACTTAAGCTTTGCCTGCCTGACATGTCTGTCTCCCGCCTCAGCCAACTTCACCTGCCTTGGAATCTGCCAAGGTTATCCTCATGCTTTACCATAACACTGAGTCTATTACATATTAAGTCAAGACTCTGGATAATGACAAGACCTGCATGGAAAATGTATTTTCAACTGTATGGTGAGTGTGGGGGTCTGAGATTAAACCCAGGGCCTTAAGCTGGTTGAGCGCATGTTACACAGTTTAGGTATACTCTCAATTCTCCAAAAACATTTTAGGAGTCAGTGCTAATTCATTACTCGTGTATAGAATTCTGAAGAAAAAAGGGAGCAATGAGGTGTGAGCTGAATGAATGGAAAGAAACCACCATTACACAAGGTGAGACTCACAACCCGAGAAACTACACAAACTTCAAATACTTTGGGAACTCTCCGAGAGAAGAAGCGACCTTTACCAGCTAAAGACATGTGCTTTATTATCCTAAGAGAACTTCTGGGGGTAGAGAGATGGCTCAACGATTAAGAGTACTGACCAGGGATCAATTCTCAGCTCTCACATTGCAGCTCACAGCTCTCTGTAACTCCAGTTGAGAGAGAGAGAGAGAGACAGAGACAGAGACAGAGAGACAGAGACAGACAGAACCCTGATCATCTCTCTGTAAATTTATTCAGACAATTCTAGGCTGTGGTGACTCAGAAGCAGAAGAGTGGGGGGTGGGGGGGTGGACAACTCAGGCTGGACAGAAGTCAACTCAAAGAACATATACAAGCACATGAAAATCAGAACCCCCCAGAGTGTACAGGAGCATAGGTCGCAGTCTAGTTGGCTTGTGCACAGCAGACTGCTGCAGAAGCCCCAAGAACGAGCAACACCATCTAGAAATATACTAGTGGAATGCATTATGTAACTTGAAGCGCACAGAGAAAGAAGTAGATGGCTGGTTGGTGGCTGTCATGTTCCTTAAACTTATATACTCAAGTGCAAAGACATTCTTATGTTAGAAGAGCTTTCCAAGGCCTAGACCTGCCTGTACTATTCTCTATCTGGGCAGCTGGGCTTACTTGAGGAACACAGCATGGCCAGATAACCTGCTTTCCCTTCATCCCATCCCACCCAAAATCCAATACCTGATCACATCCATACCTTAGAAACTATGGTGTTGAAGATTAAAGGAATACATTAACTTTAGGGATGACCAGAATGCATGCAAGGATTATCACCATAATTCGCATATGTTAGAGGGAGAGAGAGAGAGATGGAGGAAAGGGGAGAAAGTGCGCGTGGGCAAGCAGGACAGCCATTAGTAAATGTGAAAAGTAAATTCTTACCTGGTTAATGCCCTTCGGGAATCAAACTCTAAAGGTGTGGCTGATGGGGACCCTGAAGGTGCTGGAGGTTGCAGAGGAGAGAATCTATTTAAACTGGAAGCACTTGACCGTAATGCATCTATAGGTGTTGTAGATTTAGAAAACAAAAAACAAAAACAAACAAACAAACAAACACAAATCACATGGTTAATATGCAAATGCTCTGTTTTCTTACCTCCCAGGAGTAAGGAATAACACCAGGAATTTCTTTCCTTTTAAAATTTGAAACAGGTTCATGTTGTCAAGGTGGGCTCTGACTCTTGGGACAACAGGTGCACTCCCACCCACCCTCGTTCCTTTTTGGTAAGATCTCATACAGGCCAGGCCAGTCTGAAACTCTCTACGTAGCCAAGGGTGACTTCAAACTTCAGCTCCTCCTGACTCCCATCTTCTGAATGCTGGGTTCACAGGTATTCTCCACCATACCCATTTCCTGAATCACTAAGACTCAAACCCAGGGCTTTGTGCACGCTAAGCAGCACTCTACCAACTGAACTGCTGCCCCAGGCCGAGGGCAGTAACTTCCTTAAGCAACAGAGTGGAAACAGACAGTTTATCAAGCAAGAGAGCTGAGAGAGGTTAGAAGGTCAATGACCAGTAAGTCTTTCCACCAAGCACCAACCTGGCCTGCCCACTGCTTAGCATCAAGCATCAGTGGAGATGGGGCACCTTGTGGGGGAGGCTGTCAACACTGACTCCTAACAAGTGTAGGTGACACCTATCACATTCTGACAAGGACAACACAGGTATTAGCATATCAAAGAGCCTGGAGACTTCTGTTCACAAATTTGTTCTTATAAACATATTCAGCCAGGTGTGGTGGCAAGTCTGTAATCTCAGGTCCCAGAAAGATGGAGGCAGAGTCAAGGGGTTAAAGGTCAACTCAGCTATACAGTGACTTCAGGTCAGCCTGGGCTCCATGGAATCCAGACAGACACACCAACCAACCAACCAACCAACCAACCAACCAACCAACCAACCAACCAACCAACCAACCAGCCAACCACAAAAAACAAACAGAAAAAAGCCCTTAGGATGTAAGTTACCCTGAGTATGATATAACATTGTGAGGGTTTATTGCTTATTTTCAATTAGATTGTATGGTTGAGTGTGAACTTCAAAAAAGGTATCTTTACCAATTCTTTAAGAACCATACAATGTATTTTAATCATAATTACCCCAATTTATCCACCTAAATTTCTCCCAGATCCACTCCTAACCCCTTTCAACTTACTGTCTTTAAAAAAACAAAACAAAACAAAAAAACCCTACAAAGTCCAATTTCTGCTGCTTATATTGTTAAGTATTGAAATTTCAATTGGATCACGACAGTCCTACCAGGGGTCACACTTTTGTCTGTTTTTTCAAGACAGTGTTTCCTCTGTGTAGCCGTGACTATGGGAACTCTTGCTGTAGATCAGGCTGGGCTCAAACTCAGAGATCCTCCTGCCTCTGCCTCCAGAGTTCTGGGATTATAGTCAAAATCCCAGCTTGGTGGGCAGGGGGGGGCAGAACATACTCTTAAAACTAAGTGTACATCCCTTAAAGGCCATCAAAGGTAAGTAGCTCTTCAATTAGGATGGGGAATGTGAGTTTTGTAGATGATAATACTGTGTCATTATGTCACAGATCAGAATCTGCACTCATTCTTAGCCCAGAAGTCAAGTCTGTAAAATATAAAACATACCTGATGTTCCTCGTCTTCTGCTGCAGTGACCCTTGTGCACCTGGCACGTGCTTCATCACTAAGATGCACACTCAGCTGCTCTTTTGTTTTTGAGATAGGGTGTTACTGGCTTGTAGCTCTGGCAGTTCCTACATGTTGCCTACATGTCCCAAACTAATGGCAGTTCTCCTGCCTTAGCCTACTAAGTGCTAGTAGCATTATCTATGTGTACCACCACACCTAGCCTGTAGAAGATAGTGTCTTGCCATATAACTCAGGCAGGCATGAACAGGAGATCTTTCCATCCTCATTTCCCATTCTAAAAGTTCAGGCATTTGAAAAATCATCTGGTGCTGGCCTGGTATACCTTTCATTCTAACACTCGGAAGGCAGAGGCAGGCAGAGTTTGAGGCTAGCCTGGTCTACATAGAGAAACCTTGTCTCAAAATACCAAAAATAAACAAATAAAAGCTTAACATAAACCGTGGAGAGGTTGGAGTGATGGCTTAGTGGCTAGAACACTGACTACTCTTACAAAGGACCTGCATCAGTTCCCAGCACCCACATGGCAGCTCCTAATCACCTGTAATTTAGATCCCAAATTCCAGACCCTCTTCTGACCTCTGCAGGCAAGATGCACACATGTGGTGTACATATAAATCACCAGACAAACTGTTCATATTGACAAAAACAAATCTAAGAGTCAAAAAAAATTTTAAATATTGAATGATATTGAGAGCCACTAAGGAAAGTTCAGGTGGATCAGTCTACAGACCTTTTCCTAACAGTGCCAGACACTGGGAAAGCAATGCAAGGCAGTAACAGACTCAGGCAGCCGGAAGAAGACCCCACACATACCAGTTTCGCTTGCCTTCGCTCCACCACTGCTGCCTTTGCCCCAGCTGCCCAGCTGTGCCTTAGGAACCAGCTGGATCTTCTCGTCAATGGTGGGCTGTAATCAAAGTGGCCAGGGTTATTCACAGGTCAATTCTAGAATGGCATTCTTTAGTTCAGAACAAACGTAATTTTTTTGAAGTTTCAGCTTAGGAAACATTTAGCAAGGCAGTAGTGGTACACACCTTTAATCCCAGCACTCGGGAGGCAAAGCTCCATGATAGCCTAGTTTACTAACCAATTCCAGGCCAGCCAGGATACCCTGCCTCTAAGTAAAACAATCAATTAGAAACTGGAGCTGTGTTCATTTAGGTGGAACCCCTGGACCTTTAAACTTTTTCTTGGATTAGGCAACACAGAACAGCATGGCGGCCACACTGTTTTCCAGGGTGGGCTCAAGTCCTCTGCTCAGAACGGCTTATTAATTTGCCAAATGAAATACACAGTTTCAAATGATTCTTTGAATACAACAATACCCAAGGTTGTGCAATTGCTTTGTCAGTTTGCTTATATAGCCCTGGCTGGCCACAAATTCACAGCAATCCTCTTGTCACAACTTCCTACGAGCTAGATTTACAGGGGTGTGCTGCCACACTTGACTCTGTAAAGTCTATATGTTTAAATTTTCAACACACACACACACACACACACACACACACACACACACACACACACACACACACACACGGGAATTGTGGGGAGCAGGGACTCATGTAGCCCAGGGTGGCTTTAAAATGCTAAGTAGCTGAGGATGGCCCTGTTTTGGATCCTCTTAAGTACTGGAACTCCAAGCATGCACCTAGCTTTGTAAATTTTTCAAAGCATCATACTCACCTTAGTGATTTTCAGAAATTTGGAGGGGTCAAGAACTCGGCTGTTCTTGGCCCCTTGAACAGTATTCCATCCACCTTCATCCACTCTTTGAACGCCTGCAGTGGAGACATAATGTGTTAAGTCTCTCATCACCTCAAGTCAGTCTGACACTGAGTGAGCAATACTGTCACCTGAGAGACTCCAGTCAAAACCACATTTCTCTCTTCTTTTTTTTTTTTTGGTTTTTTTGAGACAGGGTTTCTCTGTATTGCTTTGGAGGCTGTCCTGGAACTCGCTCTGTAGACCAGGCTGGCCTCGAACTCACAGAGATCCGCCTGCCTCTGCCTCCCGAGTGCTAGGATTAAAGGCGTGCGCCACCACCGCCCGGCCCACATTTCTCTCTTCTAATTTGTTCCATGGAACAGAGTTTGATAAATGACATATTCTACTTCAGTATTTATTTACTGCTGCCCAGCATATGACCTAGCTAAGTGACAGGCACTCAGAACTTGTTGGGCGAAGGAGGAATGAGTGATAACTGCACTGCCTTCTGAAAGCTGCTCCGTGTCACACATGGACTAACTGTCTGCCACCTGATATTAGTGACCATCAACACACTCGTCACTTCTTTCAGTGAAACAAACATCCTAGCTCTTTCTGATCACTATGCTGTAAAACACTATCTTCTTTTAGCCACATGTGTGTATCTCCTATGAATTAGGCCCTAACAACATCTCTGGATTCTTTCTCCAAATATTCCTCAACAGTAAAGGAAAGTCATTAACTGAAAGGCTTGCTGCTAAGTCCTTGGTGGGGCAGCCCATGAAACGCAAATGTAAATTTTGCTCACCAGAAGATGAAGCTCTCCTGACAGTTCTATTTTCGTGTCTTTGCTAATGTACTCGCCAATAGTAACTGAATGTTCACTTAGAGCCACATGTCCTCCTTCCAGACAAGGCACAATTCCTCAAGTCCACCTTACAAGCAAGTGCCTCGACCAAGATTACTCAGCTATGAAGCAGCAGAGCTGACTGACATCCAGAGCCAGACAGCTCCAAAGTCCATGCTTTTAGCCAATGTCCTACTCAATGCAGCCATGTGTGCCAACCATTCAGCAATTCTCCACAGAGATGCTTACTACAGTGACTACTGTGCTCACTGATACACAGGGCATACTAACATGACCTATGTTCATCTATGAAGAGCTCAAAAGAAAAAGGCTTTTTAGAAAGGTCTGGAAGATTTGTCTTTGCTGCTCCACACCTTCAACCAGAGGCCGATCTCAGACAGAAGGTGCCTTCTGTGCTGTCTTCACACAGTCGCACCTGTCTCATCCTAGCCTGTTTCTTTTTCTTTTGGTCTTTACGAGACAGGGTTTCTCTATATTGTTTTGGAGGCTGTCGGTCCAGCCCGACCTCGAACTCAGAGATCCCCCTGCCTTAGCCTGTTTCTTTTAAAGTTTATTTTTAATCTTGTGTGTATTGTGTTTTACCTACATGTATGTCTATGAACCATATGCATCCATATGTTCTCAGAGGCCAAAAGAGGTTGGATGCCCTGGGATTAGAGTGACAGAAGGTTGTGAAGTGCTGTGTGGTGATGGGAACAGAACCTGGGTCATCAGCAAGAAAGGCTGGTGTTCTTAACCACTGAGCCATCTCTCCAGCTCTGAATCCTTTTATTCCTATTTGTACAAAGTCTCAGTCCCTAACACACAAGATTTCAGAAACAGTCACAATGTGGAGTGTTGTGGAAATTACTTTAACAATGTAAAGATGTGTTACATTTGTTTATGCTACATTTATTTAACATGTAAAGATGTGTTGCTTGCCTGCCTAAGGCACTTGATTGGACGATCTAATAAAAAGCTGAGCCAGGAGGTGGAGGCACAAGCCTTTAATTCCAGCACACATGAGGCAGAAATAGACGGATCTTCCTGAGTTCAAATCCAGCCTGGTTTACAGAGTGGGTTCCAGGACAGTTAGAGCTACACAGAAAAACTCTATCTAGAAAAAAACAAAAACAAAAAAACCAACCCAAATCTGAATGGCCAAAGCCTAGGCAGTAGAAGGATAGGTGGGGCTATCAGACAGAGAGAATAAGTACGAGGAGGAACCTATGCTAGCGGATGGTGATGGGGAGAATAAGGGAGAAAGAAAGGGAGATGCCGGGGACATACAGAATAAAAGAAAGATAAAAGGCCCAAGGTAAAATGTAGACGAAGAGCAAGAAGTTAACTTATCGGAGCTAGTGAAACAAGCATAAGGCTGAGCATTCATAACTAAAATGGTGTTTGGTTGGTGCCCCCAAAAAAGCCGTTACAGTGGAGTCCAACAAATGTGTCTGATTTGTGCAAAAAGCTAGCAGCCTAGAGCTTACAGGAGATCAACTGCAACCTGCCTGCTGAGCACACAGAAGGCACTAGCTTCCCCACCAAGGGACAGATGTTCTCGTTACACACCACTTCCTTGACACTGTTCCTTTATTTACACACTTAAGACAGGAAGAAACCAAAACTAAGTTTCTGATCCCAGTTCTCCCATTAAACATTGTCTACTCTGTCCAAACACTGAAATTACACTCCAATCAGGCTTATTTGCTCCATTTGGAAGTGCGTGTTTATTTCATTTCACAGTTGAAATCCTTTCAAATACTAGCCAGGTTTCTTCCATTTTGCATCTCTTTCCTCCCTTAAAATTTCACATCATTCTTAGTCTAAACTTAATCCTTACTGGAGAATTCATCCGCACCGAGGACACTACACATACTCACTGGACAGTATTTCCCTGAGGAGTCAAGCCGTCACAGCTCCAAGAGAGCCCTGTTCTTTTGTTTCTCTTACCTTGCACGGACATTGAGGCGGGAAGATGCTCACTATGAATGCCTGGCTTTGCATAAGTCAGTACACATTTCCATTCTGCTCTCCCTTTTTCAGTGGTTAGTCTCAAGTGTCTTGGTGTTGCTTAACGACCACTTCTCTGTCCATTGTGACCTCATTCCCAGGTCTTACCTAACAGTCCCAGCACTCCCCCAAGCCCAGCCATCTCTGCCCTCACCTGGTCTTCTCTTCTCCTTGGTCATCAGCTGCTGGACTTTCCTTTGCTCTTCTTGTTCTTCTATCTTGGCCTCTTTGTGAATCTGTTCAATAGTTTTTGGCCCCTGATCTGCTCTTCGGGACACCCAATTACACTATGAAAGTAGAAACTAAGGTTATCAGTCAAATAATACAGAATCTTACAAAAAAAAGGCCAGAAATCTGGTTTGGTGCATGCCTACCATGTGTGTTTGGTCCTCGGCATCACACACAAGACCAATAATATAGTAGTTTTCCAAATAAACATAAAAACCTATACTTTGCCAGGTGGCAGTGGTGCATACCTTTAATCCCAGCAACTCAAGAATCAGAGGCAGGTGGTTCTCTGCAAGTTTGAGGCCAGCCTGGTCTACAGAGCAAGTTTTACGATGGTCAGTGATACAACAGAGAAACCCAATATTGAAAAATCAAACAACCAAATGAAAACAAAAAACCAAAAATATCCCCCCCAACTCCAAAAAAAGCCTGTAACTTTCCACCACCAGGAACCAAACAAAATACTTATAAAATGGAGAGTTAAACTAGTTTCTCAGCTGCTCATAGATGATTTGTAGTCTAGGAATTCAAGCTAACAAAATGATAGCTCTGGTGGGGTGTGCAGTACACATTCTAACAACTGGAGAATAAAAGTGAGAGCAAAGATGTGTCTGATAAGTCATCAATGTCTACACTGGGAGAGGAGAGGCAGTGGACCAGGAAGGATGCGGACTCCTCAGGATCATGAAACACAAGGGCTCCTGACCAGTTCATGCCATAGTTCATAGGATTCTGAGTCAAAGGTGACTACCACTGCTATTCCTTCAATAACATGACTCTGGTACCCAACCTAGATTGCCGCACAAAGCTGCTTCTCTCTCCTCAGGAGACAGTTGAACTGAGCAAGTGTGGTGGAGACTGGGTGGAAACAGGTCGATTTACTTTGTGGGCTCTGATCCACTGATCAAGGCTTTTGCTTTCAAGGTCACACCTGGGTTTAGCAAGACAAAGAGGTCTCATCAGTGCCACGGGGACTCTGTATGAAGAGGCGGGGCCTATGCTTTCAGTTGAGGTAGTCACCATGGGGGTTAAACCAAGAAAAAAGGGGGCAAACAAACACTACACAGGCATGACAGGGTGCATGGAGAGTACAATGTAGTTAACATCTATGAATCTGCAGAGTACACATTTATCTCACAGAATTTTTGTAAGACCTAAAAGGTAGCAACAGCATCATTGTGGAAAGGAAAAACAAGCCTTAGGAGTTCAACATGTTCACTGTGGAGATGAAACTCAACCTGACAAAGACTGGGTCTCATTGGCCACACAGAATTCAGAAGACCAATGTCAGAGCTGCAGTGTGAGGAAGACACTCAACAGACAGCACCTTCTTCCTGTCAGTTCAGGGTTGAACACAAAGCAAAACAATTTTCACCCACACTAACATCACCACCGTTTTTACCCCATTCCTTAAAACAGATGGGACTCATCATGGTTTTGTGTTCATTCTTTTCCCCCCACTTTGTCAGCTTGACACAAGCTAGAATTATCTGGGAAGAAGCTCAATTGAGGAAATACCCAGACTGCCTGCAGGCATTTTCTTGATTAATGCAGGTGGTCCTGAGTTGTGTGAAAAAGCAGGCTGGCCAGGCATGCAATCCATTTGGGAGGCAGATACAGGCAGAACTCAGTTGAGTTTGAAGTCAACTGGCCTACAAAATGAGTTCCAGGACAGCCAGGGCTACACATAGAAACCCTGTGTTGAAAAACCACATGCATGCACGCAGACACACAGGCTGAGCAAGCCAGTAAGCAGCATCCTCCAACAGCCTCTGCTTCAGTTCCTGCTCCTGACTTCCTCGATAATGAACTGCACTGTGAAACTGTAAGCTGAAATAACCCTTTCCTCTCCAAGTTGCTTTTGGTCATGGTGTTTATCGAAATGATAGAGACCTAACATACCAGCCTGAGGTCTATTACATCCTGAAGCATGAATCGAATCCTGGAAGAAGTTTTTCTTTCTTTGACGATTTTCTCCATCTGGTTAAAGTACTGGTCCATACGTGGCTGCAATACATAAAATCAACAAGATTTCTGGCTGCAAAATTCAATTTTCTTTTTTCCATGTACTTTTGTTTTTCATTTTTATTATAAAGGGTCTCACTCTGCAACCCAGGCTGCCTTGAACTTGTGATCCTCCTGCCTTAGCCTCCTGAGTGCTGGATTGCAGATGTGTGCAACCATACAAAGGTACAAAGTAGGTTTTTAGGTGACTTGAGAATAACATCTTGCCAGACAGTGGTGGTGTGTGTTTTTAATCCCAACACTTGGAAGGCAGAGGCAGAGGCAGATGGATCTCAGGGTTCGAGGCCAGCCTGGTCTACACAGTGAGTTCCAGGACAGCCAGGGCTGTTACACAGAGAAACCCTGTCTCAAAATAAAACAAGAAAAAGAAAGTGACTTGGGGCAGGCATGGTGATGCACACATGCCATAGGGGTGGGGTGGGGTGGGAGAGCAGCCTGGGATATACAGTGAGATCCTGTCTCAAGAGAAACAATCAATCCTACCAGATCTTCTTACTCTCATTTTCAGGCCCTGTCCATTTCTTAACCCTTCTGCTCACAGCCTATGAAATATGGAAAAAAAAAAAAAAAAAAAAAAGAGAGAGAGAGAAGGACCAAACAAGCTAGAGAATCTACAAACTGACCTGCATTAGTTAGGGACCTCCTCACCTTAGGTCTAAAGCAAATGAGGTAAAGAGCATCATTAGTCAAACTGTGGCAACGAGCAGAGCAAGAGGGTCAAGCACACCGGCTGCTGGGGTGGGGTAGAGTACTATTCTTCACAGCCACTTTCTGCACTTGAATGAGAGCTGCTATTGCAGCCTTCCAAGCCCCTGGGTCTTTACCTTTGCTTTCTCAAAGTCCAGGTCTTTGCCGATGGTGGTGAGCAGGCGACACAGGCACTCCAGGGACTCTTCGTCATGGTTCTTTAGTAGCTTCACCACACAGTCATGCATGATGGCCTCTGTCAGCATTTTGAGTTTAAAGAGTTCTCCAATAAACTTGATGTTGCCGATGGATCTCCGTCGGGCTTTGTCCTTGGCTTCTTCCAGTTCATCATGAAGCCTTGTTCTCTCCTCTGGCTGTTGTGTAAAAATGTGTGAGAGCATCTAAGATTTGAGGTTTTACACTTTCCAAGACTCAAATGTCTTTTGGGACTGCAACATAGAACAATGAAAGGGCCTAACTCCTCGAAAAATAAGAACCACATGCAGAAGTGTACATCCATCAAGATTTGTGGAGCCTAGCAACCTCTCTAAAGCCCTGAGGTTAGACTGACTTCTGCTGTGGAGCTGAGTGCCCTGACACTTGGCAATAAACCACCACTACACACATGCAAGCATGCATGAAAGCACTCCTCTCTCTCTCTCTCTCTCTCTCTCTCTCTCTCTCTCTCTCTCTCTCTCTCTCTCTCTCTCTCTCTCTCCTCCCTCCCTCCCTCTCAGACACACACACACACGCACGCACGCACGCACGCACGCACGCACGCACGCACGCTTGGGCAGCAACAACAGGTCCCCTCGAAGTTGCCACAGCTAGCTGTGTAACAATTCTGGCAGCAGTTGATGCGAAGTCCTTACAGCGCTGGCAGCTTCCAGTTCCTTCTGCTTCTTCTCAAAGACATCATCATCTGCTTTATCTTTTTCAAACTCCTTCTGGCAGCGGTTTAGCAGCAGCTTCCGGAAATTCACTGTGTTACCGGGCTTCTCTGCCATGGGTACCTTTAGCTGCATTTAGAGAAGAAAGCAGAAAGGCAGCTAGCTTTCCTAATGCAAACAGACACACAGGTAAGCATCCTAAAAAAACGCAGCTTCAGTCATTTCCACAGAGCAATGAAAAGCAGTCATGATTCTTATGCAGAAGAGACACACCCTCGTACACAATTTCTGTCCTTTGTGGATTGGATATGCTTCAAGCTAACATGGAAACTGTTAAAAGTACAGCTGTCAGCCTGCATACACCTAGACTTTTACACTGTGGAGGGTTATCTTGTTTATTATAAGGGACCTGTGTGTGCATATACATAGGTATGGTGCACCCTTGAAGGATTCTCACTTTCCACATGGCAAACCAGGATCAAATTCAGTTCATCAAGGTTGACTGTAAGCATCTTTAACCATTGAGCCATCTCACCAACCATTTTATTTATGTCTTAATGGGGGGGGGGGGGTCTCATGCATCCTAGGTGGTCCTGAATTCTAATCTTCCTGCTCCACCTTACAAGGGCCTGGACTACAGGAGTGCCCCATCATGCAGGGATTTATACAGTGTTGGGGATAAGAGCTGCATGTATGCCAGGCCCCCACCACCACCTGAGCCACACCCTAGTACCCTAGCTTAAAAACAACAAAATGATATAAACAACTTCGGGTTTAAGTAACAAACAGAAATAACGAGCCGGGCGTTGGTGGCACATGCCTTTAATCCCAGCACTCGGGAGGCAGAGACAGGTGGATCTCTGTGAGTTCGAGACCAGCCTGGACTACCAAGCGAGTTCCAGGACAGCCTCCAAAGCCACAGAGAAACCCTGTCTCGAAAAACTAAAAAAAAAGAAAAAAAAGAAAAAAAAGAAAAAAGAAAAAAAGAAATAACAAAATAAGGGAGAATTTCAGGGTCACAGCAAAACCTGGGAAAGGGCAGGGCTTTTGCAGACTGCTGCCCTAACTTTTCCCAGAAGGACGTCCTCATACTGGACCATACTTAGCATGACTATCAATATGCAGTAGGATGTTTACCTTTTATTGATTTTTTTTTCTTTTAGAGACAAGCCACAGAATGTTTCAGAACATAGAGGCTGTGCTGAGCCCTTACCTAGCAACCATCTTTCCAGAAAGCACATACTGGCCTGAGAAAATATAAGTGGACAGCACATCTGTGCTGACTCTGTGTCTAGTCTACAGGACAGGTTAGTCTGAAATGTGAACCGTTCTAAAGTGAGATAGTTTCAACGTAGCTCCTTCAACCTACTATCTTCCCTCAGTGGCCAGCGTGCACACAGCATGCTATGTGCACTGTGCACAGAGGCGAGAAAAGGCATCTCTACCGGATACACTGAGAAACACACAGAGGGATGCCTGCATGGAGGGAGGGCTCATGTTAAAATGCCAGTTACTGCCTTCAGTGCACTTTGCAAACTGCACAGGTTTTCTCACTTCAGCTCCATCCCACTGTCCAAGGCAGAGGTTTGATTTGTAATGGCGGGCAGGCCCCTATCATGACTGTGTCCTGCCAGCCTCCCAAGGGATGGGATTACAGGTATGCACCAACACACCTGCTTTTCCATAAATTACTGCTGAGTCTAACCTGCTCTCAATCCCACCATTCTTTCTCCATTTTGGAAAGCCTTTCCAACAAAGTGGAATGTTGCAAGGGTGTAACACTCAAATGGTTAACCTCCCGCATAAGCCTCATCTTTATACTCCAGGGTTACATACTGACACACAGATAAAACTCATGAACTTCTCACAGGGCATAAAAGCAGTTCTTGTTTTATGTCCCCCTTCTGACTTTTTGAGACAGGGTATCATGAATCCCAGGCCATACATGAAATGATTCTGACCTCCTGATGCTCCTGCTAGAATTATAGGCCAGCTCTACAACACCTGCTCACCTGACTCAGTTAGAATTACTACTGCTGTGATAAAACATGACCAAAAGCCCCAGCACTCGGGAGGCAGAGGCAGGCGGATCTCTGTGAGTTCGAGGCCAGCCTCGTCTACAAGAGCTAGTTCCAGGACAGCCTCCAAAGCCATAGAGAAACCCTGTCTCGGAAAACAAACAAACAAACAAACAAACAAACAAAAAACATGACCAAAAGCAACTTGAGGAGGAAAGGCTTTATTTTATTCATAATTCATTATTAAAAGCAGTGAGGGCAGGAATTCAAGAGAAAGCGGCAGGCAGGGGCTGACACAGAGGCCATGAAGGAGTGTTGCTTACTGGCTGCTTTCTAGTAGAACCCAGGACATTGGCATCACTCACAATGGGCTGGGCCCTCCCACTTAAGTCACTATTAAGAAAATGCCCCACAGGCTTGTCTACAGCTTATGAGTCATTTCTCAATTCAGGTTCCTTCCTCTCCAATGACTCTAGCCCATGTCAAGATAAAACTAGCCATCATACTTTTTTATTGAGGGATTCATTTTCTCACCCAAAGAATCAATCTAGGCATAAAGACTTGAGCAATGTGTGATTCAGAAGCATTCTGAAATGGGGATTTACTTTTACTATAATTAATTAGAACAAAATATGGCAACTTAAAGCTACAAAATCAGTTGACTTTAAATCTTTAAAAAAAACACACCTGTTTATTTAAATTTCTTCATTGAGAATGGTATCTGCTACATACAGCTCTGGCTAGTCTAGAACTCAGTATGTAGCCCACGCTGGCCTTGAACTTTTCATGATCCTCATGCATCTAATCCTGAGTGCTGAAGTCACAGGAATAAATTACAATGCCTGGCTGGTATATTTGTTCATTTACTATTGAGACAGGGTCTTCCTGGCATTGAATTTGTAACTATACTCCTGCCTAGAAATCGTCATCTATAGGTACAATTGCCTACAAGACATTTCTCCAATCATCTTTCTCCAGACCAAATTCTGAGTATGTGCCTCACAGTCTACAAAGAGGGTCCCGAAGGATTCCTGAGACATTTGTAATTGAACTGGGGGAAGCTCTAACATCAGAAGCATAATTTTCTCTTATGATCCCCTGAAATTGTACACAGTTTGTCCGAGCACAACATGTAGGGAGAGGCACCAAGAACAAATGTATGGCTTGTAGGAGAAGTCTGTAACAACAATGTCCTCAATATATCTAACAGTGTAAGAACATTGCATTTTTTTAGAATTCACCCAATCAATGCAAAGTAACACAAGAATGTATTCATTCATTCCTTCACTCATTTTTGTAGTGCTGGGTAGGCTCCAGTCACCAAAAAGGGTTGAAATGTGGGGACGTGAGTAGATCACTAATAACACGTGATCAGCAAACACAAGGCCCTGGGTTTCCTGTCTTACACAAAAACTATAACAATAATTTAAAAAAAAAGTGGGTGTGTGATATATATATATTCTCCTGAATCTTCAACACAGTCACAGCTAGGGTTTCTGAACTTGAATCCTATAGCCATTTGGTTTTGAAAAGGCATTGTGTCATAGACTGTCCTTCCACCGCAACATGCAGCACCATCCTTCACTTTGCTGCCTAAGATGCCAACAATAACTAAGAGTACCTCCAGACTCTGGCAGGGGGTGAGGGAGAAGCCCCTGGTGAGAAGATTGGTCTAGATCAGTGTTGGAGCTAAGGTTCTAGCAATTTACAAAGATTATGATTGAAGGCTGGGGGGATGGCTCGGTGGCTAAGAGCACCTGCTGCAACAGGGGACTGATCAAGACTCCATGAATGTAGTGTCAGTGAGGAGGCCTCAAGAAATCTCTGGGGCCTTGGGTAGTAGATTAGTGTTCACCATGGCATACAAATGAACTGGAGGGATGCTTTCTCAGCTTGGACACATGGGGAAGGGCCTAGGTCCTGCCCTGGATGAAATGACAGACTCTGGAGATCCCCCCCCAAGGAGGGCCTCACCCTCGCTGGGGATTGGACTGGGGGTGAGGGAGGGGCTGGTGGAGGGACACAGTGGGGGAAGCTGGGATTGACATTTGAAGCATGCATGTTTCTAGTTTAAATAAAAATATTAAAAAAAAAAAAAAAGAGCACTTGCTGCTCTTCTGTAGGACCGGAGTTAAGTTCCCAGCACCCATATCAGGTCATTCACAACTGCTTCTAACTCCAGGGGATCTGACATTTTCTCCTAGCCTCCCAGGCACACACAGGTGAATGCACACATTTTGTCTTGATTTACAGTCTTCAGGAACTTGTAGACCTGTGTCAGTTTTCATGGCTTTTTCCTTTGAAACAGACAAATTTGGCTGTGGTGCATACACACAGTCACACAGTGACTAAGCAACAGTGAGGCTCAGTAGAGGGCTGCTGGTATATGCACTGAACGAGTTTCATCCTGCCTCTCTCCTCCATCCCATTTCCCTTTCCACAACTTTCTTTGATAGTCAGATGACTGTCTAAGCAGGACTTTTATGCTTATAGTGTTTTTGAATTTTATTCAGTTCCTGCTTTTCAAAAAAATTATTTATTTGTACTTTGTTCATATGTATGCTATAGGTTGGATTAAATGTCTGTGGACAATTTAAGAAAAGGAAGTTATTTATTTATATGCTTTTTGTTGTTGGGATAGGGTCTTATGCTGTATCCTAGGCTGGCCTAGTGCTCATTCTTCTGAGTGCTAGGATTGAAGGCATGAGCTACTATGTCCAGCAAGAGAGGAAATGATCAGATTTTAAACATTTTTGGTGATGAGACAACGATCTTTTCATTTCCAGAGGCCAGAATTAGAACAGTTAATTTAATTTTAAATTTAGTTCATGTTAAAGTTAGCATCTGCTCTAGTTCTAGAAGATGACACTCCAGAATAAAACTGTTGCCTAGGACATAATTCCACATTACTAACTCAAGCCTTCATCAGTCTTCCTGGGCGGAGGGAATCATGAGCATATGCCCATCTCAATCAAGTCTCCATATACCTACTCGCCAGTGGTGGGGACAGACGTTAGAAGAATTTTTTTAACCAATGAGGAACTATGCACAAGCACTAGCAATATATTCTCCCCTTTCCATTGCCCCAATAACACTCTGGGAAGAATGTGCAGCGAGGGGAGAATATACCTCTTGGTGGTTCTGCTTTTACTGCTTCCTCTCTTCTTACCGTTACTAGGCATCGACACATGTTTGCATAAGCCACAGAGAAACTGGGCTCGTCAATAGCCTTCTCAAAGACCAGGTCGATGACTCCTTTCAGCCGCTCCTCTGTGTCCACGGTAAGGCCCGACACCTGCTTCATCAGCTGGTTGAACATCTGCGGTGTCAGTTTATTTAAAATACTCCGAACTTTTCTGAAAAGTTCCTACAGTGTTAAAATAAAAGAGCATTAACTAGTCTTACACACATCTACTTCAATAATTAAGACGAGTCCCACCACCAGCTTTTAGTTACTGAGCATTTAGGAAGGAACAACTTCAGTCACCTTAAAGGTTAGGAAAATTAGCAGGGCGTTGGTGAGACACTCCTTTAATTGTAGAACTCAGATCTCTGTGAGTTTGAGACCAGCCTGGTCTACAAGGGCTAGTTCCAGGACAGCCCCCAAAGTCACAGAGAAACCCTGTCTCAAAAAAACAAAAACAAAAGGTCAGGAAACTTGCCTGCAGTTTTGATTCCCGCCCATCCACGGCCCCAGGAACAGAGTTCCACCTAGTACCGTATGCAGGCTCAACAGCCAAACAGGCTCCTGTGCATTTCACAGACCACAGTGGCATAACCTTTGAATCACTACTGTTTTTAGAGACTTATTCCTATTAAGGGTTAAGTAAAAACATTTTAATTTAAAAAAAAATGTAGAAATGAGCCAGGTGGTGGTGCACACCTTTAATCCCAACTCTCGGGAGGAGGAGGCCAACGGAACTCTGTGAGTTCAAGGACAGCCTGATCTACAGAGTGAGTTCCAGTACAGGCTCCAAAGTTACACAAACCCAAAACAAAACAAAACAAAACTTAGAAATGTACCAGAAATAAAAGGAAGTTGCCCAATGCAAAAAAGGATCTATGACATTACATAGTGTAGAAAACTGATGAGCAACAGTCTTTTTGTTGGTTCTGAATAAGCAATTAAAGTGAGATTAGAACCAGGGAGGGAGGGACATGCCTTTAATATCAAAACTCAGGAGGCAGAGGCGGGAGGGTCTCTGACTCACTGTTGCATTGACAATTTAATTCAAATCCTAATCCATGTAGGCTTTCTGTTTTCTTTTGGAATTAATCCCATACTACAGATGTAAAGACAAAAAACAAAACAAAAGGAAACACTCCAAATGGCTTCATTTCCCAACATCCACATGGCAGCTCAGAAGTCTATTTTTCTGGTGTCAGGGGATCTGATGCCCTTTTCTGGCCTCTGGTAGCACAAGGCACATACAACGCACAGACACATATGCAGGCTTATATGTCTGTTCAAAGCTCAGGCTCCTCATCAACATAACTTAGAGAAAACATCATGATTCTGGACGAACGTGGCACCTTTGACATTAGATTAAAAAGCTGAATTTGAGGCCAGCCTGGTTGACACAGCCAGTTGTAGGAGAGTAAGAGTTATGTAGAGAGACCTTGTCTCAAAACGAGCACAACAAAAAAGCTGAGATGCAGGCTCAGAAGGTAAAGAGGCTTGGCTCCAAACCTGATGAATCTGCTCCCCTGGGAGACTCACATGGTGGAAGGAGAGAATCAATAAACAGACAAATAAATGTTTTAAAAAAGCTGAGATGGGAAATCAGTGCTTCAGGTAAATTCATCTGGAAGCCATGGCAGGTATGGGGGAATCCCAGAGGAAAAGGAGGAAGAGACTCCTAGAGATAACTATTTAAAAAAAGTGATCTCGGGGCTGGAAAGATGGCTCAGAGGCTAAAAGCACTGACTGCTCTTCCAGAGGACCTGAGTTCAATTCCCAGCAACCACATGGTGCCTCACAACCATCCGTAATGAGATCTGATGCCCTCTTCTGGTGTCCAAGCATAAAACACTATATGCATACATAATAAAAATTAAAAAAAAAAAGTGATCTCTAACTTCTAGATTAAACATCAGTGCCTGGCAAAAATTACAGCAATGTTTTGTCTACACCAGGACAGGGTAAAGTTGTTGTACCACTAAGAACCTAAGGAGCTGTGTAATAGAGGAGAAGAAGGAAAGGGGGAAGATAAAGGGATTAGGAGAGAGAGGGAGCAAGAAAGGGAAAGGCGGTGAACATAACCAAAAGAAAGTACATGCGTGAAAATCTCATAATGAATCCCATTAAGACAATATGTTAAAAAATGGAGGCAGGCAGTGATGGCACACACCTTTAATCCCAGCACTCGGGAGTCTGAGGCAGGAGGACCTCTGTGAGTTCGAGACCAGCCTGGTCTACAAGAGTGAGTTCCAGGACAGCCTCCAAAGCCACAGAGAAACCCTGCCTCAGAAACGCCCACCCCCCCAAAGGAGAAAAGCAAACTTCATGTCAAGGCAGCATGAGCCACAGAAGAGGACACAGTGATTTTTTTTCCTTTTATCTTTGTAGTATAGGGGATCAGACTACAGCCTTGCCCATGCCAGGTAAGCCTTAACTGGAGTGGCATGTTAGATCCACCAATAAAGAAGATACAGATTATCATTCATAGGTTTACAGAACAATGCCATTAGGAAAAATAGGAAAAAAGAAAAAGAAAAAAAAAAGCCAGGTTATGGATCTCTGTGAACTGGAGCCTGCCAGGGCCCTGTGTCACACAAGCAAACCAAACCTTCCCCCACACTGGTAAGTGTTGTTAAAATGTCTACGCTTACCCAGTAACGAGACACAAATCATGACTCAACGATACCATGTGCAGTTTTATTGGTGGACTGGGAAAGAAAGGGAGGTAAGAGGTAACTAAGCTGTACAGGAGGGAAAGGGAGAGGGAGAGAGGGAGAGAGGGAGAGAGGCGATGAGGGAGAGGAAGACGTAGAGTAAAAGAGAGCGTAAGCGGGCAGGGGTAAGTCCTTTAAAGGGGTCCTTTGTACCTACGTGGTTCTCACAGAACTCTGGGCTGGCCAGGAGTGAAGAACTTACAAGAGAAAGCTGGAGCTCACAGCACTCACCTGCGTTTTAATGCTTTCCGGGTCGTCAGCATGGCTGTCCCGCTTCTGGCTGGGTTTCCAGGCGTTCTCTGCCTTTCTCAAGTGCACATCTTCTTTTACAGAGACGGTGATGATCTTTCTGGGCTCCCTTCTCTGGCCAGGCTGAGACCTCCGAGGTCCAACATTCAACAACTAGGACAAGAACATTACATCCATTCAGAGAACCCAGGGCAGCCTGCGTCTTCAGGGCTTTTCAGGCCTCATGTTCACACCAAACCTTCTAGATGAAAAAAAGACCAGGTCCTATGTGTTCATGTTAGAAATAATCTTGAAGTATTAGGAGGAAGAAAAATGGTCTCTGATTATCATCACTACGACAACTCTACCTCTTAAAGGGCCAAAAGGATCAAAAAATGGTATCTGATAAACTACCATTCCCAATCCTGCCCAGGAGCCAGTGCTCAAGAGAAGTTGACACTGCATAGACCATGGTGGCTGTATCACAGCTACGGAAATGACTGGTTACTGCGTGTTCCACAAACATTCACAGTAGTAGTCCCCAGTTACAACTCTGCCCCAAACACTATCTGGAAAAGAAGAGGGGAGGGGAGGAGAGGGGAGGGAAAGGAAAGGAAAAGAAAAGGAAAAGGGAAAGGAAAGAGGAAAGGAAAGTTCTAAAACCATAAAAGAAATCCACACAAAAGCCGTATTTGTGAACTTTAAGGGTAAAATTTAAATACAGCTTTATTATTACATTTTCTGTGACAGATACCCACTTTGAAGGCAGACCACAGGGGCATTTTATTTCACCAATTATTTTCTGGAAACTAAATTATTCCCTGAAAAAAGTTTTTGTATTTCTGATCCCCTCCTACTATGATATATGTAGTAATACCAATATGCACCAATGATATAGTGATTATCAAATTAAATATCGTTACTACAAGAGATTAAGCTGTACAGGGCTGGTATGAGGACTCAGTAGTAATGACTGTTTACTAGAGGCCAGGCAGTGGTGATGCACACCTTTAATCCCAGTACATGAGGGAGAACAGGAGGACCTCTGTGAGTTTGATGCTAGCCTGGTCTACATGGCTGGTTCCAGAACAGGCAGAGCTACATACATCTTTACTGATGGACCTGACTTTGGTTCCCAGCACCCAGGCTGGGCAGCTCAGGAGTGCTTGTCATTCCAAGCCTTAGGGATCTGATGCCCTAATCTAGCTGCCTTGGAACTACACTCATGCACACACACAAACACAGGCAGGCGTGTACACACACACAGGCAGGCGTGCATACACATACACACACACACACACACAATTTTAAAAGGGTTGGAGAGATGGCTCCATTGTTAAGAGCACCTACTGCTTTTGCAGAGGACTAGAGTTCCAGTTGCCAGTACCCATGTAACTCAGTCCACAAATGCCTGGAACTCCAGTTCTGTAGGATCCATGTCTTCTTCTGGCCTCTGTAGGCACTGCACTCCCATACACAAACGCACACACAAAAGACACATCTGTTTTTTAAAATCTTAAATTAATAATTTTTAAAGCTGTGTTTTGTATGTAAGACTAAGAGCTAACACCTTAAATGTTTGAAATCAGTTTCCTTTCTTGGGTTTTCACATTTTCTTTGAAGCAATCTCACTATGTAGCCAAGGTTGGCCTTCTGCCTCAGGTGAAATTCAAGGTGTGTGTCCTTTTGAGAGGATACAAGCAGGGTCGCCTGCAGTTGAGAATACCCTGAACCGGCTCTGTGTCTGCTCCTCTATGACAGGGCTCACAGTGGACCACTACCACACCCAGCATTCCTTTCCAAGGGTAACTACGTAAGGGACCCACAGGCCTGCTGCACACCAACAATCTATCTGCTTTTTCTTCTGAAAAATCAATCAAATGCTATAAATGTTGCCATTAGATTTTAAGAGGGAAGAAAAAAATTGCCTAAGACAAACTGCAGCTGTATTTCAGACGCTAACTAGACGCTGCCCTTTTAAATACACAGAGAACACTGGGAAAGAAAAAGATGGACTAAATTGCTACGCTTCATAGGAAAGGAGTGTCCAGGTGACATATGGTTCTAGGCTAGGCCGATAAAAGCTTAGATGTCATTTCCAATTAAATGCCCCGAATCATCCCATACACCAACCATCAATGAGGCACTAGAAATGGCAGTGCCAAGTGGGCATCAGGATCAAAGTTCGAATTCCCATTAGCATTGTCAGATGGTAAGGACACAGCAAACATTAAAAACAAAAACAAGAGGCTGGGAGAGACGGCATAGTGGTTAAGAGTACTGACTGCTCTTCTAGAGGACTGGAGTTCAATTCCCAGCACCCACATGGCAGCTCACATCTGTTTGTAATTCTAGCTCTAGGGGACTCGACACCCACAGCAAAATACCAGTGCACAAAAACAAAAAACAAACCAAAAACAAGTCAGATGAGGTATGAGATAACTGAGAGACACTCAAGACTGGAAAAATTCCATCAGGGAGAGTTGCTGAATCAGTCTCTAAGGACACTTACTTATAAATGAATCTTCTACATAGGATCTAGGCCAAACAGCTCACTTACAAAAACACTGTATGGATTTTATGATTTAGGTGATGTTCCTGAGGCAGACTGTGGGGGTATCTTTTTCAGAGTTGGTTATAACTTAAGAATGACGATGTTTTCAGACATTTAATTTAACCCACACTTGGATATAAAAACGCATCAGAACAAAAGCATCTGGGTAGGGTGAAATTACATGAAAACCACGCTGAAGTCATACAATGAGGGACTGAGATGGATTGGGTATTAAAGAGCAGACTGCACAAGATGAGGACTGGAGTTGAAAATCCCCAGCATCCATGTCAAAGACAGGTATGCATGGAGGTGACCATGCACACCTGAATCTCGGTGATGGTGGGTTAGGGCCAAGACAGGTGATCCTGGAAGCTTGCTGCTAGCCAGTTCCCCAAAAGACCCTATCTCAAAAAAATCATGTCAACTGCAACAGAAGAGGACACCAGATAGGGACCTCGGGTCTGCCCATTGATACTCACCCTCTTGAACGCATATACCATACATATGTGTGCCCCATACAACAGAGAATCTTCTCTGAAGATAGTCATTTGCAAAAATTACTGCAAACACCAATAAGCACACCTCGATACTATAACCTGCAACATCTCTTCACCTGCTTCAAGTTCCCAGAAGAAAGTCACCCAGTGTTAAAATGTTATATGTAAGGCAAACTGATGACTGAACTGTGATTATGGAAAGCTGAATGTCACAAGCCCCAAACCGAATTTCCCGGGCTATTTTGAGTTCCGTAAGTAAGCCACTCATTGTCCACCTCTGTGTTTGACCTAACATCCTTGTGACCATAAGGGGATTCTTTTGGCATGTATTAACAAACCACGAGCATCTACAAACTTGGGGGGCAAGAGTGTCTGTCATCAGACAGCCTGTGAGGCCTGAGGCCAAGATCTCCCTGCTTGGTTATAACTCCCTACCTAAAATCTCCAGGAGTGTATTTGAAGAGTGACATTCTTTTGCTATTACCACAAAAAGTCACAGAACTGCCACCAATATGGTATTTGACAAAACCTGAATCAGTTTTCTTGGGCTCCTATTTGGCTCTAGAAGATGAGAGCTGTACTTTGCACTAACACTATAAAGTATCAAGTTTAAAGTCTTTATTTTAAAAGATATAGTATTCTTTAAGAACAGTACCATATAGTGAGTGACTTATACACCACCCACCCATGCATACATGCATTTGAATAACCACACCCACACATGGGATCCTGTGCCGTGATTATGACAGATCGAAAATGAGGTAATAGGGTGACAGGTGATTACCCTCATGTCTATACCTGGCTTTTCACACGAGTTCCATTCTGGGGACTGAACTCAGGTCCTCAGGCTTAGTTGCAAGCACTTTACCAACTAAGCCACCTCTCTCTATCCTCCCAAAAGTTATTTTAAAAATTCATTTTCCATTTCCATTATTTTACGAGATACAGCTTGTTTTCAACTCATATGGTTTCCCTTAGTTCACTACTGGAAAACAATAAACAAGTTGGTAATAAAGACTGAGAAGAAACACTGCAAGGAGACACCTTGATTTGTATCATTCACAAATGACTTGTGAACAACACTGAGCAAAATGGGAATAACACAGATGACATCATCTAGAGAATAATCAATGAGTCCCATATTTCTGCTGTTCTACACTGCAGAGAGGTTAGTGAGCAGAGCCTGAATATGGCATAGTGTGGTGCCCAGCACAGATCCGCTGGTGATGCCACTTCCTTTCCTGAAAAGACTGCTAATGTGTGTATGACAACCTGTAGGTTACCAATGCTAGAATTCTGTAGATGTCATTTGCCTAAGTTTCAAGCAAACAAAAAATATATCATCAGAGATATGCAGATAGAGAGATAGAGAGATAGAGAGATAGATAGATAGATAGATAGATAGATAGATAGATAGATAGATAGATAGATAGATAGATAGATAGATAAGATCTGGCACACCCATATAGTAAGCTCTTTAGGGGTGAGTGAGATATCGCCAGTGGAGTGCAGCCTGGGGCTGTGTTCAGTTCCAGAATTGGCAATCCATGCCTGCTCTGTACTTTGTAAATCTGTAGAAACAAAGACGAGAGGATTGACTGAGTGCCACTGGAATGTCTAGGATAGCATGATGTCTCAGAATCCTACCAAGTTTGGTGCTATAGCAAAAGCATGTGCAGGTCACTTCAACATCAGACAAATGAAGACCAGATCAACTTACTGCAGTAAAAATGACACAGAGGTGCATTGTGCATTTGTTTTAATATTCATATGTATATTACGAAGGATAGTCTTTGCCTCTTCTACTTCTTGATCACAGGACTCAGCATACAAAAGCCACACCCTGTCCTCAGACAAGATGTCTACCACAGCTTCCTATCTGACTGGGTTGTTGTAAGGAACTGGCACTTACAGGCACGCCTCTTCCACCAGGCGTCTGCCTTCCAAAATCTGCAAAGGCTGGGGTGAAGTCGGGTCCTCGAGGTAAAATGCGAGGGTCCAGGGTTCGCATCGGCAATCTGGGCTGGTTAATCTGCACACATGAGGAAGCACAGAAAAGCTTAAAGCACACGTGTCCTGGTGCATTCAGTGTCAGAAAGTTCCCACAGATGTTAATGATGCTGTGACCACTAGGGTGTCAATGGCTGTCCCCAGGGACGATTAGGATAAGACCTGTGCGACAAGTGCTTTACCCATAGTCCAACGCCATGTCCCTATTCTCTTAAGAAACAAGCCCCAACTTTAATAATTTTCATCGTGCACCATATAAACCAAATGTAACGAGGAAGGAAGCTGGGGCTGGAAAGACTGATCACTGGTTAGAGCACTCGTTGCTCTTGCAGAAGACTGGTGTTTAATTCCCGATATCCACACGGCAGTTTACAACATGTGTAACTCCAGGCCTAGGGGACCTGACACCCTCTTCTTGTCTGTGTGGACACTAGGCACACATGTGATACACATATAGACATGCTGGCAAATACCCGCATATATAAGGTAATAAATACATACTAAAAACTCAAAAGAAGAGGGATTTTTGTCTCTTTGCAAAGGACTGGGAACTTTAATGACCTGAAGTAACTATTGGGAAAATTTTGAATATACAGTATCTGATTTATGTCACCTGCCACTTTAGTTTCATCTTAAATATCTTCTCAGGTTTCTGATCCCCCCTGTTGCTACTCCTTAATCAGAGTTTAGAACCCGGGGGAAAAAGCTCTATGTGTGCAGCCTTGCCTCTTCCAAATCACAGAAGTTTATCACATCACTATAAGAAAGCCACAATAAACAGACACATTAATACAATTCTAAAAACCAACACTTGGGGCTAGAGAACAGGCTTAGCAGTTAAGAGCACTTATTCTTGCAGGGGGGTCCAGGGTTCAGTTCCCAGCACCCGCATAGTGGCCTCCTTCAACACTGGAAGCATACATACAAGCAAAACACTCATATACATAATAAAATAAAATTTAAAAGAAACAACAGAAAATCAGCATTGAAGTAAGGCCCTAAACATAACTTTTAATACAATAAAAAGATAATAGTAATTTGGATGCATGTAACCTAACAGTTCTTAAGAGCTACTTGCCCTGTACCTACCTATACTAACACTCAGACCACGCGCTGTCTCCTGAGCATGATGCTTACCTTGTCAAGAACCACATCGCTGATGGGAGGCAGGCCCTCTGGTTTTTGGATACAGGCAGGCATAAACTGGAAGTCCAGTAGGAACTCTCTGTCATATTGCTTCTTGCCTTCTGTATCCGCAGGCTTCCAGGACTCTAAAAGAGCAGCATAAGCAGAAGACATTTGTCTAAGCATGTTTCAATACCTTCTCAAGGAAACAAAGGAGCCGACTCAAAAAGTCAACACAGGACGACAGCTGAAGAAAGAACACTCAAAACCAGCCTCAGCTCTTTCAAAACTGGGAAGCCTCTAAATGCAAAGACAACTAGGAACCAGGAGCAAACACTTCCTCCTACACCTCCTCCTAAGAACCTCTGTCAGGCTTGTAAGGACACACAACAGGGCTTGCTGTGCTTATTAAACAACTCTTGAGCTCAGAAGACCGGAAACAAGGAATTGGACAAGACTTTAGCTTCCCGAGAAACACAAAGCACAAACAAAACAATTTACTTCAAGGAAAATCTAGCTAGCTAGCAAGAGGATTTTTATCTTAGTTGTCATCTAAACTCCCCAACTCACGGGTCCCGAGTGAAAATGTCCCTGTGTGTTTGGAACCAGGGGGTTAGTGTGAGTCACAGGGACTGTCTTCACTCTGATCTTTTTTTTAAAAGTCTACAGACTCAAGATTTATTATGTATACAGTGTTCTGTCTGCATGTATGCACCAGATCTCATTAAGGATGGTTGTGAGCCACCATGTGGTTGCTGGGAATTGAACTCAGGACCCCTGGAAGAACAGTCAGTGCTCTTAACCTCTGAGCCATCTTTCCAGCCCCGCTCTGATCTTTAATATGAAATATGAATTCGTATTTTGCCTCAGAAATTTACCTTCCTACTATTTGTACTATAGCAACTATTTAACCTCACTCTTTAAAAAAAAAAATCACTTGAAAAACTTTAAGTATGTGTATATGCCTGTGTCCGTGTGTGGGTTTGTGCACATGAAAAGCATTGCCTTCAGAGGCCAGAAGAGGGCATGGGATGCCCTAGAGCTGGAGTTACAGGCAGTTGTGTGCTCTCTGAGGGGTGAGGCTGGAAACTGAACTCTGGTCTAGTACATGGTCAGTATGTGCTTTTAAGGGTGGAGCTATTTCCAGAACCCCTGGCCTTACCTTTATTATATAAAATTAATGGAATTCTATGTGAAATTTTATTGGACAGTAAGCCACTATCTCTCTCTCTCTCTCTTTTTTTGGTTTTACGAGACAGGGTTTCTCTGTATTGTTTTGGAGGCTGTTGGTCCAGCCCGGCCTCACAGAGATCCGCCTGCCTCTGCCTCCCGAGTGCTGGGATTAAAGGCGTGTGCCACCACCGCCCGGCCACCACTATCTCTTTCTCTCCTTCCCTTTTTGCTTTGACAAAACTCAAAATCAAGCCACAGTCTGTAGTGATGGCGATGGCGGCGGTAGTGGCGGTGGCAGTGCACACCTTTAATCCCAGGTGTAACAGGTATATCTGTGAGTTTAAGGCCATCTTGATCTACGAAGCAAGTTCCAGGACAGCCAGGGCTATACAGAAAAACCCTGCCTTGAGGAGGTGGTGGGAATCAAGCCCCAGATCATGTCAGGGTAGCAGGCTAGACCCTGTGTTCTTGTTATTCCTACCCTAGGAGACCATAAACCCACTAGTATCTCTAATGCTGTGAAAATATTTTCAAACTAAATTTGCTTTACATAACTATCTTTATTAAAACGTAGGTAACTTATCGAAGTTCTAGGATTTAAACCATCCCATTTCCAATGTTTACTGGTATACACTGGATGACAAGGTCAAAGGAAATCAGATAGCTGAACCCTGTAACTGGGAAATGACTGGGTCACCATCAGTGTTTAGTGATCTGGTATAAGACTAGATTGCCAAATGCAAGCTGAAACACTGCTCCTAAAGTTAAAAAAACAAAGCTTTTAGAAAAATGTTTTTCGTTTAATAGTTGCAAAATTCTATGTGTATTACAAGAATGTAATTCTATGATTTCAAAAAGCCCACCAACATGAGTGCAGTGGTAACACACACATCAGGCCATGCCTGGTAGAACATGCATGTAATTCCAGGTCTTCTGGAGGCTGAGGAACAAGGACAGCAAGTCAAGATCCGCCTGGAATATACAGTGAGTTTGGGTGTAGCCTGGGCGACATCATGAGAGAGTGAAAAGCACAACAGGGCTCCAACACAGCTCAGCAGAGAACAGTTTCCTAGCATTAAAAACTGAATAAAAAAATGAAAACAATTAGTACTTTGTGGTGGGAGGTATAGGCTAATAGTTTCCAAATATTCCTGGTCACACAAATGTTCAGAGGGCCTGGGAAAGAGCTGGGCATTCAAGATGCATTCATTGTATTTATTTATGAAAATGTTCAAGAACAAATAACTATTTTTAGAAAGTGACAAGCCAGGAGTGGTAGACTGTGCATGTAATCAAACTCTCAGGACGGTGAGGGAGGAGGACTGACTTAAGTTCGAGGGCAGTCTGGGCTACATAGTAAGATCTTGACTCAAATAAATTAATGAAGGAATAAGGACTTCATAAAGATAAACACACAACTGAAGTAAGTTTCTCAGAGTTACACGTGCTCTTAAGACAGAAAACCACAGTGACATTCTTCATTTATTATGCTTTCTAATACTACTGCTTATTGCTCTGTGATTTCACAACCTGTAAAAGGAGCTAAATGCAGCTATTTCAAACACCCTGGCCTGGGCTATCTCCATGTCTCGAATTTTTACATTCTAACTCTGCAACTTTACATTGCAATGAGAGAGAAGAAAACTTTTTACCAATCTGAAACGTCCTACCAAAGGAGCCACCTCCCCACTTACCTAAAGCAAGTCCCTCCATAACATTGCACAGCACTCACGGTTTACAGAACCAGCAGATGGTCTGGTTTTCTTACTGAGGTGCTGAGAAGAGAGACAGCTCTCTGTCATGCCACGTCAGGGCTTGAATGCACACCTATGGTGTCCAGATTGTGAGTGACCCCATCCAGGGCTGGCCACCCTAACTGCAACACCTCCTCTATATGAGGTGTGTCCATTCTACCTGGCTGGGTTCGTAGAAGTGTTCAGTCACCAAGAGTGAGTTGGGGCAGAGGAAAACAGAACAAAACACCTGAATCTGAAGTGTGAGGAATGCCCACCTTCAGGGCCCTGGTTACAACAGTAATACTGAGACCAAAGTAAAGGCATAAGCTGTGCCTTACTGAATTCTCACATCCTGCTCTGCAGATGTCCACGGGCTGCTACTCTGACCAGTGACACTGGACAGGACTCTTAGATTTACTCAGACACAGGAGGAACGCCAGAAGGGATGCAGGAACCCAGGGGCCAACTTACCTGCTTTAAATGGGAATGTGATCCCATCACCAGAACTATCAGTAGAGCCTGAATTGGCATCTCCTCCTTCCCCCTCAGAAGTACTCTCAGCACCATTGCGTAGAGGCTCAGCTTCTTCTCCATTTTCTTCCCCAGCTTTCACTCTTTTCAGGGCAGAGGGGTCTCTCTCAAAGTGAAACCCTTGGCTCATTTTATCTGTCTCAGGTTCAAGTACTCTGTCATCTGGAAGTTCTTCGTCTGCTTTAGGCTAAAGAGCAAGGTAACACAGAATTCGTATTACAATGTATACAATAAAGGCCTACACCTATCCCATAAAAACAAACAAACAAAAACATGAAAACATGCCACTCACGCTCAGTGTCTGAGCTCTGCACAAGGTACAAGAACCATCTCACCACCTGCCACATGACACAGACAATTTAGACAGCTACCAAAATGCTTCGATCTGGAAGCTAAATAGAGGCATGAAAGAACTGATAATTCTTTGATGGGGAATGTCTTCTGGTTGATGAATAAAACAGTTGGCCAATAGGGCAGCAATATAGGTGGAATTAGGATATGAGGAACAGTCTGGGAATGTAGGCAGAGTCATCATGTCAGCCCAGGAAGTGACACAGCTGGGCAGAATCAGAATATAAGGAAGGAAAAATAGGAAATCGCTCTCTTCTCTCCTCTCTTTGCGGAGACGCTGAACAGTCGAGATGTAGGACACCAGAGGAGTAAGAGGTCCCTGGAAACCTTTCTCCGGTAAGATAAGACCATGTGGAAATACATAGATTAATAGTTATGGATTAAGAATAAGAAGCCTAAGTTGCCAGCCAAGAGCTTTATACTAATATAACATGCGTGTGTTTCTCTGGGGCAGAGAAGAGTGACAGGACCTAGCTGGGTCAATTAACATTCACATTACAATTCTCTTCCTTCCTTCCTTCCTTCCTTCCTTCCTTCCTTCCTTCCTTCCTTCCTTCCTTCCTTCCTTCCTTCCTTCCCTCCCTCCCTCCCTCCCTTTTTTTTGAGACAGGTTTTTCTCTGTGTGAAGTACTGGCTATCTTTGGAACTCATTACATAGACCAGGCTAAACTCAAGTATCCAACTGCCTCTACCTCTGGTGGGCTGGGATTAAAGGCACACACCACAACACCCAGCTAAAGACTGCTAATTCTTGAAAGCTCACAACCATGGAAGAGTCCTGGTCAGAAATGAAGCCACTATGTTTCTCCTGCTATCACAGATTATCACAAATCAAGAGACAATAGAGGGCAGAGGTTCCTGAATGCCTCTGGCTTTGAAACAAGTTTTTGGGGAATTAAATTTAGAATTAAAGTCCCACAAAGGTAATCATATTCTACTTTACAAGGAGGCCATGAACTTTATTTTGTTTTAAGACAGGGTTTCTCTATGTAACCCTGGCTGTCCTCGAACTCAGAGACCCACCTACTTCTGCCTCCTGAATATTAGGATTAGAGAGGCATGCGCCACCACAGCCCATCTTGAGGCCACAAGTTTTAATTCATCAGAATCCAAGAACATGTATGAAGAACACATACAAAAAATCATTTACATAAAAGAAAAAAACAACTCAGAGCAGTGTCTCTCTGGGGAGTTTATTTTATAGGCCAAGAAAAACTGTTACACCTCAGTTTATTTCCACTAAAAGTCTTGGTGATGAACAACATGTTGAAGGTGTTCATGAGCAGCTGAACTCTTGAGTCAGAGTTCTCTGTGAAGTGAAGCATCTGGTAAAGGGGGGCATCCTGAATACAGTCTTCCTACTAGCACTCACAAGAAACGGATCCCAATGGCACTCAGCAGACGAGCTGGGGGCTGCTGCAGCTGAGCACTATCCTACTCATAGACCTGTCCTAACACAGGACGCTTTTACCTTACCTGATTCATGGTAAATCAATTTTATTAAACTCAAACATGTCTACTTTATCACTTTAGTACTAAATAATACTAAATGTTTTTCTACAATACATCAGATAAGGAAAGACAAATTGTAAAGTCTTATCAATAGATATGGATGATCCGAAAGATGTATGTCTACTTGATAGTGTGTATGAGCATACACACACACACACACACAGAGGAAGGAGAAAGTTTAAAAGAAAAAAAAAAATCTATCTAAAGAAAAAACCTGCTGAATGCCTGAAAGTTGAAATAGTTCAAGCATGCTTTCACTACATAAGAATTTGAGTCAAAAAACAAACAAATCAGGAATGAGGATGTAGCCAGGCAGCAGTATAAGTGAGTACCTGGAGTAGTGAAGTCTTGGATTCATATAGATGGGAGCAAGATGGAAAAAACACCTAATATTTTCTAAAATAAATCACCCAGGCCTGTAATTCTAAAGAGGAGGAAGCAGAAGGATTATAAGTTCAAGGCCGGGGTTGGACAGCTGCATCATGGGTAAACTGCCTCTGTGCAAGCTTGAGGACCCATGTACCTGCTGGCAGGATGGTTCAGTGAGTAAGGTGCTTATGGCAAAACCTGATCTGAGCTGGACATTATGGGAGAGAGAGGGAGAGAGAGAACAAGGGAGAAGGGGAGGGAGGGGGGAAGTAGAGGGGAAGGGAGGGAAGGAGAGCACACACGCACTCTTTCACTTACTAGTCAATGTCATCCTAGGCTACATAGAACATTTTCTAAAATCAGTAGCAGGTATCTATCAGACTTGAGGACTAGCCTGTGATACATGAGACATTGTCTTAAAGAAGAAAGCAACCTGAACATTCAAATGAGACGTAAAATTTCAGGAAGATAGACTAGAAAGGATACATGTTTTTAAGTAGGCCACTTTTAACTTTTGAAGACAGAAGACTGGATGAAGCTGCACCGTAAGTGATGGGCCTCAGTCTCATGCACCAGGTATTTTAGTATACTCTAAGTAAATTTACAATGACCCTCAAACACAGTTTTTCATTTCAGTGCAGCTCATGCAGGAGATTTCCACTGCCACGGCGTCTAGGAGGTGGGACCATGGGTATCTATGACTATACCTTTATCTATCACAATTCTTAAAATTCCTATGACCTCACAAGATGTGGAAATGAAAGCCATTTCCTAAAATGAGTAGCAGGCAATCACACACAAACACAGAATGATGCTTGGAAATTCAATCTGCAACCACAGACACCTGTGGCATGAACAGTAAACCACAAAGTAAGGACAGAGTCACTGAGGAGACACATAAGGCCACAGAGGGCTAAACCTTTTTCAATAGGAAAACTGAATGTGGATGCATCTCTTTTAGCAGTGAGAAGCCAATGAAATCTCTCCTAGCCAATGATCATCTTGTTTACTCAAAAAATCTGATGGAGCAGGAATGGAGGAGACACAGAGCTTTAATCCTAGCTAGCACTCGGGAAGCAGAGGTAGGGTGGATTTCCAGGTATTCAAGGCCAGCCTGGTCTAAACAGAGAATTCCAAGCTAGACATTGCCATAGAGTGAGGCCTTTCTCAAAGGGGTAAAAGAGGGGAAGGGGGAGAATAAGCCAGATGAAAGAAGACAACTGTAACACTGTTACTAACATTCACAAAGCTGTCTGCCTCACACTGTGTATCTAGTGACAAATGAAAAGGGCCTGAAAGTTTTTTTTTAAACCCAGGATCTCTGATATGCTAGAGGCTGTTAACCCCTGGCCTGCTTCCCAAGTGCTAAGATTTTTTTTTCCCCAGACAGGGTTTCTCTGTATTGTTTTGGAGACTCGCTCTGTAGACCAGGCTGGTCTCGAACTCACAGAGATCACCTGCTTTCTCCTGTGTGTGCTGGGTGCTGGGACTAAGGGCATGCGCCGCCACCACCTGACAAGTATTTTCATATACCCTTTTTAGGCTCTAAATGACTGAACAAAGCATCAAGTGTTTAATACACTGTTCTAATGATGGGTATTTTAGGAAAGAAGGCACACGACTACGACTCCTGAACGAAGACTATACAAAAGGAAAAATATTTTTTAAATTATAAAAATATTTCATGTGTGTGCACATGCACACACTTGAGTACAGTGCCCACAGAGTCAAGAAGTCATCAGGTTCCCCAGAACTGGAGTTATAGGTGGTTATAAGCCACCTACTGTGGGTGCTAAGGAACAAACTTGGGTGTTCTGGAAGAGCAGACCATTCTCTCACCAACTTAGTCACCCCTCTAGACTCACTACTTCAATTTTTACGCTATGTGGTTAGTAAGTAGCTGCTTCCCAAGGAATCAAAGCAGTTCTCACACGCTCACAACATGATAAAGCAGGGCTAAAACAAATTCTGGCCCACAGTCTAGTTTTGGCTTACCAACTGTTGCATAAATTGTACAAGTTAAGGGTAATTTTTATTCTTGCTCTGGTTGATGTAGGCAGACTTTTCTGTCCCATCGTCCAGTTCCCAAATAACCAACAAAGAGACTTATTAATAAATGCACGGCCAAAAGCTAACGCTTATATCGTAGATTAACTTGTATTTCTTATCTACACTATGTCACATGGCTCAGTACTGTTTCTCTGTACAGTAAGTTCATCTCCTGCGTCTCTGCATCTCCCTGGAAACTCCTGAGACTCCTCCCTTCTTTACATCTGCCAGTCCTGCCTAACCTGTACCTGCCCAGCTATTGTCCAGTCAGCTTCAGAGTTACATATATTTACACAGTGTAAAGGAATATTCCATGGTCAAGATACCAAAAGAAGTATGTATCTTTAAAATACAGATTTTGGTGCCCGCCAATACGTTTACTGGAACACAGCCACACTTCACCCACTCACACTTTAGAGACGTGGTGGGAATGGCACAGACCTCATCACAGCCGGAATGAAGAGGTCTGGGATCTCCACACTAAATAAAAGAGTAAGTATGTGAAGGTATAGGTAGGATGGCCTATCCATTCAGTACTCAATAACTCTCAGAAATGGGTCTGCAGCACAAAGGACAGAAAGTAAACAGAAGTGAATGAACTAAACCCAGTCAAATCTCCAGAGGAATCCACGTTTAACACTCAAACCTTACCCGGACAGTGTGCGACTCCCCAGCCTCTAGGAAGTATCTTATCCTCTGCAGGAACATCATTTTCTCGTCAAGCTTCAAGGAAGGCACCAACTACTTGTACCTCTCTAACTTAGTGCTAAATCTTGTCCCTCAGAAGCACAGTGATGTCACACTCACACACCTTTTTAGTGGTTGCTAGGGAACTCAATGTGACATCAACAGAGCATCATGTAAGGACAATAACAGGACAGTAGGAGCAACAAAAGATACTCTTGGCTGTGTGAACAAAATGGAGGTTTTTATTAGAAACAAGGGCCTCACAGGAAAATTATTTAAAGCCTGCCTCAGGCAGGAAGGTGGCTCAATAGGTAACGCTTACCTCAAGAGACTGATGACATGAGCTGGATTCCCAGAATCCACATAGAGGTAGAAGAAAGAACGGCCTCCACAAGGCTGTGTTCTGATACATGTACCATGATATAAACGCAGGCACACAAACACAAATACATACAAGTGCCTCGATGGGGCGAAGCTCAGAATTTTACTCCCCGGTTTGGGCCCAAGAAGAAAAATACATCATCCCCTAAAATGTAATCATATTATATCTTCAGTAACGTTCAAGAAAGTAAGAGTTTAGGGCCTGGCAAGTGGGTAAAGTTTGTGACTAGGTGCTAGGCATAAGAACTATTTGAGTTTGTGTCCCCAGAACTCAAAAAGGAGTCAGGCATCTCCCTGGAGCTCAATGACCAGTCCAACTAGCTGATCCCCAGGTTTAGTGACACCGTACTAAAATATAATGGGTGAAGTGACAGAGTAAGACAATAGCCAACACTGACTTCCGGTCTATACACACCTAACGAACCTGGATACACACATCCACACAATGTATAAACATCACACACAAATACCCAAAACAACAAATAAAATCAAAACGATGCCCCCCCCACACACACTTTTTTTTTCCAACTAGGGAGAGTTGACTAAACCTGACTATTTACAAGAGATATTCTCAAAGAAGGGCAAAAATTATTCAAGGAAATCAAATGTCATTAAAAGGCTCTAACAAAGCCCCTAGACACTAGTTTTTGAGCTTGATAGGCCAAGAAAGCAACATGTCTTTATGAAATGGTATCACTGGTCTCGGGACAAGTTGAGGAGGGGCTGTCACTCACCTCTGCCTCTGTCTCTAACACCTCGTCTGCGGTTCGGCCCCGATCTTTCACTTTCTTCCAAGTCTTTGGTGCAATGATGGCTGTCTGCACTGAAATACAAGATCAATTCTGTTATTCACCTCTGCAGTCTGCTGGGCATTGACACATCTAAGACATCCTTGCATTCAAAACCAGAAGCACGAAGAAATTCACCAATAGCCAGGAGCCAGATGATGGCCATGTGAGCACTTTACAGCATCAGTCTAGGCACTGCAATCTAAGGTAAGTGTGTCAGACACAAACTCCGTTCTCTACCAGTGGCCTGGATACTCCAACATGGCACAGGCCATCTGTGATTCAGAAGGGACAGAGCATCCCTAATCTAAAAACCCAGAATCTAAAGTTCTGTTTTGGGGGCTATCTTTTCAGACAAGTTGTCACCATGAAGCACTGGCAGGCCTGGAATTACGTAGACTAGGTTGGTCTCGAACTCAGAGATACCCACTTGCATCTGCCTCAAGATGGAGCTGTACTTTAAGGTTAGAGACACTCCTCTCGTTAAGTCTCCACATTCATGTCTGAACGGAAACCTGAGGTCTGAAAAGCTGCAGTTCCCAGCATATCAGATCAGGGTGATACATGCTGGCTTGAGAGCTAAATCTACACCCATGTGATTGTAAGCAAGGGACACTTCTTAATCCCCTGCAGAGGTCAGCTATACATCATAAAAATGAGGTCAGTTAAGACTCATGTGGTCAGAAAAAGAGAGAGATACACAGTAAAGACAGAGTCAGAGGAAAAAGAAAAATCTCTACAACCTCTAAAGTGTGTTAAAAAATATACACCAGCTTGGAAGAGAAAAAAAAAAAAGGACAGAGAAAGTCCTTGAAAAGGAAAATAGTGACTGGGTGTGGTGGCAGACACTTTTAATCCCAGCACTTGGGAGGCATCAGCAGGCAGAGATCTCTGCGATTTCAAGGCCAGCCTGGTCTACAGAGTTCCAGGACAATCAAAGATACACAGAGAAACCCTGTCTCAAAAATATCAAAATAGTTGGGCGTTGGTGGCACATGCCTTTAGTCCAAGCACTCAGGAGGCAGAGGCAAGCAGATCTCTGAGTTCGAGGCCAGTCTGGTCTACAGAGTACCAGGATAGGCTCCAAAACTACACAAAGAAACTCTGTCTTGAAGAAAAAGTAAAAGAAATAGAGTAATAATAATAATAATAATAAAGTCACATTAAAAAGGGAAATACACCAAGAGTCTGGATACTGTATGCTATTGTGTTGTCTTCAGATTGTTTGACTGCCGAGGAAGGAGCAACAGCTGCTAAAACACATTTGATTATAAATGCTGAGGGATTAATCCGACCTATATATTTTGAAAATGCCTTGACTTCAAAATTTAAGTCTAAGGACATGCTACTTTGGAAAAGAAGTTCTGCTTTTGTTTCAATAGAAGATGAAAAGCTATGGATTTCTTCTATACTATTATGGTTTGATCAAACAAGACCATGCTGGCTGACTCTGCTGTCTACAGGTGTCCATGTTCCTAGGACCTCTACTCTCCAGGTGTCTCCACTGTGCCTTCTGCTTCACCCTCACAGCCTGGTGCACTGTCCTCTGCGAAGCTGCCTGCAGAGACCACGCCCTTGCCTCCCTGCTTAGCTTTGGGCCTTTCTCTGAACTCTGGACGGGACTCTAGTGGGGACTGGAACCCCACAGAGGAGATTTATGAGACTGGTGATTTTTTAACTCTTCATTTCTGGATGCTTACAAGGCCAACATTACTTGGAAGATGCCAAGGTACACCAAAGTTTGCGCAGTAACCAGACTCTTGCTCTACTGCCCTGGTCTCTGGACGGCCAAGTATGGAAAACACTTCCAGAGGCAACAGCCAGAGACCTTAGGTACCTCTTTTTTTTTTTTTTTTTAAGTTTTCAAACAAGTTCAGACCTTACAGTTTCAAACTGCTTCTGGAAATCATTACATGTCCCAAGGGACCTTTCCTATTGTCTCAGTGCAAAGTACTTGGCTTCTTGATCTCCTTTCTCTATCCCCACTTGGAAACAGGCTCTCACTATGTAGCTCTGGCTGGTTTAGAACTCTGTGCAGACCAGGCTAGCATTGAGCTCTCAGAAATTCACCTGCCACTGCATTCCAAGTGCAGACCAGGCTCTGGTTTCTTCTAACACGTCTAGAGTCTTGGCTTTGGATTTCTAAGACCCCGCCTCCCCACCCCCATGAACGCTGTTTCAGGTATTTTTGTTTTGACTTGCTCCCAATTCTTACCCTAGACTTGTTTAGGGAAAGTTAGCTATAACCATGCCACAGCCAGGATGCTGGGCTGCCTGGGAACTTCCTTCAGCAGGCTGAATAGTGAGTAACCTCTGAATTAAATCACAGTCTCAGGGCATGTGCAAAACAGAAAAAAAAATTGATGCAATATGTAACTCCTCCACCCCTATTCTCACCCTTAGAGCAAACCTAGGAGCCCAATCTTCACTGTGTGTATGAGCATGCACACACACACACACACACACACACGCGCACGCACGCACGCACGCACGCACGCACCGAGAACATCAGTGTTCCAGCTCTGTATGCTGATACCCCTACTGCCCACCAAGCCCTGCTTGCCACATTCTGGAGCTTTTCTGAAGTTGTCCAACTTTCATTTCTAAAGAGGCCAAGGAAAAAACACCCTGCCCCTGATTACATCAAAGACCTGGGATTGAAATCCCACCAATCACTGAGTTTGCCCCAGAGTAAGGTTGCAGAATCCTACCAAATCATGAGGTCCCTAAGCATGAAATCCTACCAATCCCTAGACACCCTGGAAAGCTCCACCCAAGAAAAAAAACTCTATATAAACTCTGTACCAAGTTCAATATGCTGCTGCTTCTCACCCTTAAAGGTAGCCACCTGGTGGTTTCTTGTGCATGTGACACCTTCTTCAGATTAGAGCCCAGATGTAGCAACTTTTATCCAGAGCCAGAGTAGAGCAGAGTTGTTACACTGACCTTAGTAAAGCTGTAACACTTTTGCTGAGGAAACTTCCTTCCAGGGGAGCCAAGCTGTAATACTATAACACTTCTTGTTACACTTCCATTGGGGAAACCTTTCCTTGGGGCAAAGCTATAAGCTGCTAGCTGCTATGCTTACAGTGACTTTGTGGTATTCATTGGCTTCCAACTACCAGGATACCTTTCCATCAGAGCTGTAAAGCTTACATTCAGTCCAATAAATGTTGTTTAGTTTAACCTTAGTTCACATTAATATTTGGAGTGGGGGGAGTAATTTTTCAAAGTGAGTCATAGGGACATGACTGAAGTTTTAATATATGGTAAATAGTGAAAAACTGTAAAAGAGCTAAAGGTACAGAATGAAGAAAATTGAGTCATTTAATTAAGAGCATTTAAGGAGCAGGATGTGGCTCTGGTGAAGGCATGTGCCATGAAGAAAGATAACCTGAGTTCAATTAATAGGTCCTACAAGGTGCAACGAAAGATTCAATTCCCACAAGCTGTCCTCTGACAGCCAAAGTGTTGCAAACATGTATACTAAAAGAAACACATAAATGTTTAAAAAGACAGTAAAAAGTGGGGACAGAATAAAATGTCTGACTAGCCTATAGAAAGAAGTCCTTATCAATACTAAGTTAACAGGCTTGAAATTCCACATCCAGGACAGAGCACGGTAGAGACTTTTATGAGCCACTGTTTGTGGCAGGTCCTAGAATCTGGAGTATTCCCTATCAGCACCACTGGTTTACAGGCGATGGTGTTCTTACTCCTTTCCATGGAAGCCATGCTACATCTACATTCCTGGGATGTGCATTTTATCTATATTATAACTCAGAACCAAGAAGTCTCCACAGCTTTGTCTCCCTGTCACAATGGGACTTATCACCCAGCTACCTGGCTCTAATAACTACCTGTTTGTCATAAAGACCTGAGTTGTGCTTTTCATTTGAATAGAAGCAAGTAATAGATGGCCCCTGAAATTACCAGAATTGGTACATGATAAGGTGGCTGAAGTAAGAAGAAATACAGTTTAGGGGGATAGTTCAAGGTGACTGAGGTAGTAAAACTTCATGTTTAAGACCAGCCTGGACACAGGGAGTTCAAAGTCATGGTGAGTTACACAGAAAAAGATTGCTGCAAGAAGCCAAATGCTACTACTGCTACTACCACCAACCATATGGTAAATATAGCCATCAATTAGCAGCACAAAATGCAAGTATGTCAGAGTTGCATCTTGAAACGAAGTATTTATTTACTCATCTGAGCATGGCTCACAGAGATCATTTCAGAACATGGATTCTGGTGGAATCCAGGTTGCCAGGTCAGAGATGGAGGTCTTAGGTTCTGAGGTCTCCCTCACAAGCTGTTGTGGTGCTTAGTACAGCACCAAAGTTTATTGAATAAAAACATTGTGTCTGTTGTTTTTCTGTAAATTTGTTAGACTGTGAAGACTTCACACTACTCACAAACTGGCAATGAGAATTAAGAGTGTGGCTAGGAGTCGAGAGCCTCAATTACAGACGGATTCCTTTTCTTCCTTTCCATTATGTGTCCTGAGTACAGGGCTCAGAACTCAAATGACACAAAACTGAGGAAGCATTTCACCTGCTGAGGAGGGGCAAGCACCCTGTCACAGGCGTAACATAAAGAGAGTAGAATGTTCTAGCTATGGAACTCCCTGAGAGTTCCCACCCTAGACACCTGGCTTTCAACCCTTCTCGTCCATCCTTTTTTCTTCATGCTCCTTTTCTTCTTAGCTCTCTGCCCTTCAGTCAGCTCTCAATCACGTCCACAGATCCCAAGCTCTGGGCCCTCTACCGGGCTTCTTTAGGCAGTGTCATCTATCTTGCCCTCCCTTTGACATTTTTGTTTGTTTCAGAAATTCCCATGGGAATTTAGAAAAAGAAATGTGATTTGTGTTTGGAAACAAGGATAATCAGGGTGAGAGAAGAGAAATTCTATAGTGGAAACTGCAGGGCATGGTGGCATATGTCATTGATTCCAGCACTGGAGAGGTAGAGGCAAGCAACTCTCTTGAGTTCCAGGCAACCTGGTCTACATAATGAATTCTAGAACAGCCAGGATTACAAAGTGAAACATTGCCTAAAACAACACAAAAACACCCTACCACAAACAATGACCACACAAAACAGCTGCAAAGAATGTTATCAATGAGGAAGATGCATGAACCAGGACAGGGAGAGGGAAGCACACAGGACTCTGCTCCCCTGCACCTCAGCCTCTGAGGCTCCTATGAGGTTGGTAACTGCTCCCTGTTCTGTCTAAAGAAAGCGTCTCAGGGCTGAGCATCAGAAACAAAAATAGTAAATATAAGAAAACGGAAGGTTCAGCCCTATGCTCTACCAAAAACAGATGTCTAGACACAATGGAGAGTTTTCACTTCTCACTTTACAATTATTGATCAGCGAGGCTTCTTAATACCTAGATTAATTATATTGATGCTCTCAATTACCACCTTAGGTTTTTTTTCTTTCCTGTTTTTAAAATTTTGCTTTGTATTTCATCCTACTTTCCCCCTTCCTTTGAATTTTACTTACTTTTAACAGTTTCTGAAGGTGGATGCTGAGGCCAGCACTATGAAGATAGTTTTTCTTTTATTATTTTTTGTTTGTTTGTTTTGAGACAGGGTTTTCCTGTGTAGCTTTGGAGCCTATCTTGGAACTAGCTCTTGTAGACCAGGCTGATCTTGGACTCAGAGAGATCTGCCTGCCTCTGCCTCCTGAGTGCTGGGATTAAAGGCATGTGCTAACACCACCCAGATGAACATATTTTTCTTTCAAAGTATATTCAATTAGTGGTTTAAATTTTCCTCTAGTCGGGCAGTGGTAATGCAGGTTAATCTCAGGACTCAGGAGACAGAGGCAGGCAGATCTTTGAGTTTGAGGCCAGCTTGGTCTACAAAGTTCCAGGACAGTCAGGGCTACATAGAGAAATCCTTTCTTTTTCTTCTTCTTCTTCTTCTTTTTTTTTTTTTTTTTTTTTTTTTTTTGGTTTTTCGAGACAGGGTTTCTCTGTGGCTTTGGAGGCTGTCCTGGAACTCACTTTGTAGACCAGGTTGGCTTCGAACTCACAGAGATCCGCCCGCCTCTGCCTCCCGAGTGCTGGGATTAAAGGCATGCGCCACCAACACCCGGCTCTTTTTTTTTTGTTTTTTTGTTTTTTTGTTTTTTTGTTTTACAAGACAGGGTTTCTCTGTATTGTTTTGGAGGCTGTCGGTCCAGCCCGGCCTCGAACTCACAGAGATCCACCTGCCTCTGCCTCCCAAGTGCTGGGATTAAAGGCGTGCGCCACCACCGCCCGTCGAGAAATCCTTTCTTAAATGAATAAATAATTAAAAATAAATTTCCATCTAAATATTAGCATTGCAGTATGCTATGCAGAATAACATCACTCCAAATGCTTATACCTTAGCCTTACGGCCAAGTGCCCCTGGAGATGTGGTAAAATTAAGCATCTTCAGATGGACAGGAACTCACTAGATACCAAGTAATCAAAAGGCCTTTTTAAGTAAAGGAGGAAGGAGGAGCGAGGGAGTTGTGAGTAGGGCAATTGCCCAGCAAGGCACAGTGGTTGAGAAAGCAATGAACAGGCTACCAAGTGAGAGTCCCAGAGAAACAGGCTTCTGGAAACCTCCAGTGCTTGCCACTGTGGACCTTTGACCTACAAAACTGAAAGACATGAAAAATATCAAATCCAGTTACAAAGGTTTTGAAAAAATATAAAACTGATGAGGAGTCCAATGAGATGACTCAGGATTTATGTTCGATCCTGAGAACTCATTAAACAATTGATGGAAGGAGGCACCAGTGGCACACAGTTTTTATCCCAGCACCCAGGAGGAAGAGGCAGTGTGGTCTACACAGAGTTTTTGAGGACAGTCAGAGGTACAACTCCCAACCTCATTAAAAAAAAAGACGCTACGAAGTTGTCTTCTGACCTACAAGTGTGCAATCGTTCATGTGCACACAAACATGACTGATACATATGTGCATACACACACAATTAGAATAAAAAAAGCCGCCGGGCGTTGGTGGCGCACGCCTTTAATCCCAGCACTCGGGAGGCAGAGGCGGGCAGATCTCTGTGAGTTTGAGGTCAGCCTGGTCTACAGAGCTAGTTCTAGGACAGCTGGGCTGTTAAACAGAGAAACCAAAAATGAATGAATGAATGAATGAATGAATGAATGAATAGGTAAAGCTGGTGAGTTTTATCAAGGGTTAAGTCCTCTACAAGCAGCAATTCTTAACTAACCCTGAACAACACCCGGCATGAAAGGTGCATGAAGGAAAGGGCTGTCTCAACGCTCAGCACTCAAGAGCACGAGCTGCCCACCCATCAAGACCACCTTCCAGATCCGAACACCCATGTAACAAGCTGAATAGCTGTTTTGGAATATTCCTTTACACTGTGTGAAGACATTCCACTGTTACTGGTTTAATAAAAAGCTAAAACGGACAACAGGCAGGCAGGGTTTTCGGGGCAGAGAGAATGCGGGACGAACAAGGGCAAAGGCACAAGGAGTCATGAGCCAGAGTTGGAGGAAGCAGGAAGCAACACGGTGGAGTAAAGGTAATAATACCACAGAGCAGAAAGTCGGTGAATAGAAATGGGCTAACTTAAGTTTTAAGAGCTAGGTGGGAACAAGTCTAAGCTATTGGGCAAGCTTTCATAATTAGTAAGTCTCTGTGTTGTGATTTGGGAGCAGGCAGGCCAGAACACTCATGTCTGGCCAAGTATTATCAACGAAAGACTTCAGGAAGCATAAAAAATTTTTTCGAAACACACAAAAAATGAAGTCAAACTTGGCTTCCTAGTGTCGTGTCTGTCCTGGTAGTCACAGTAAAGAGACATGCCTCCTGGCAGCTGTCTGCGTGCTTGAGTTGCCAGTGCCACGAGCTAAGCTACATGGCGGGTTTAAGATGTTGCTCATGCAGACAGAAAAGGTTACAAATACATAACAGAGCAAATAGAGACGGAAAAAAAATAAACCCTTTAAACAGGTTACAGTGATTTAACAATGTGTGTATGCTTAAGAAAAAATTGGTATAGACAATCATAGAAAAAAGTTTAAAAATAATAAAGTCAGGTCAAAGAGGGTAAAATAATAAAATAAGTCATATAAGGATGGAAAATACACAAGAGGGTCTGGATCCTAGATGGTGTCTTATTAACACTGAATTTTTAAAATGCTAACATACAAAAAGAGTCAGTAACTG